GACGGCTATTAGGGGCAGATAATGTAGTTTGAAACGATTTTAAACTTAGGGGAGGTAACTAAGAGGAGTTTGCTTTCAAGGGGGGTGGGGGTGGGTTAGGTTGGGGGAAAGGAGGGTATATCGTCCTTAACGTCCATCTGATAGTGTTTTAAAGCAAATATTTTCAGTGGCAGCATTGGTACTGTCGAATTCACAAATTATAAATTACTGAAAAGTAGAAAATAAAATAGCTAAATAGCGACGTGGCGTATGATACGCCGCGGGTCGGCTCGTATATCATATAGCACGACACCAACAACAACACAACACAGTAGACAACAAAGAACACACCCCACAAAGACTCCAAAAAAAAAGTGTAACATTACCTATAAAAAAAGTAAAATTGCCTTAACCAGCTTGAATGCCCGTGGGGATATTGAAGTAGAGTTCATCTGTTTCTGTAAAATTGGCATATGAAGGAATAGTGTAGTCAGCATTATGCCCAGCCGCCCTTACTTTCCCTAATATACGCTAGGTACTCATCAGAGCTGGGTGGACTCCTGGACGTTCTACTAACTAGTAAAGACAATAATATATCGTGAACTGTCTGCTTCCTACAGTTGTTGCGATGAGTATGCCACTTTACGTTATGTTCACTCACATGTGACACGCCAGGCGCTTGAGTGGAACCCCAGGGAAGGCAAAACAGAGGGCGCCGTTTTACAGACTGAGTCTTCTTGAACTGTCTGCCCATTACAATTGTTGCATGCACTAGTAAAAACTAATGTACGTTATTGCTGACTTTGATTTAGTCCACTTTACTCAATATGGCCTCAAGCATTTTCTTCCACTATATTCTGTAAAAGTAAAGGTCCCTTTCCAACCTAAAGGTCTATGGGACTAGTAGCGTTCATATGTTTTTGTGACCTCTGCATATTAAGGGATAAAGTAGTCATCACTAAGCCGAGCTGCTTTTACTTGCACTTTCTGTAGCGGTTGATTTCGCAGTCTCCCAAGACGGTCTTCAGTTCATCAAGAAGACTCCGCCTCCAGGTCTGTATAGGGAACTCTCTGGGGGTTTCACTCAAGCGCGTGGCGTGTCACGTTTGAGTGAACTTTACGTTTTGTGTCGTACTCAGCGATTTTCATCTTTAAAGAAAGTCATAGGACTTACTTGAAGAACAAAAAATAACTATGCAATTGTAAAAAACTAACCAACAAAATATTTCAAATTTAACACCATTACTAAATTTAGAATTAGACTTTTATTTTAAAAAGATTTCTACTTTCCTGTCATTAGAAACTTGGTTGTTGGGTATGGAGATTTTAGAAAAACTTTTTCTTTTATTGCTGATGCATGCATGTACATTAGCTGTTGGACACGTTGACTCTTTATTGCTGATGTCTGTAATTTAGATGTTGGACATGCATATGTAAACAGGACTGCACGGGAACGCTGTGATACAGGTGGGGTAGACGTTCATGCAGAATTGCCCAGGTGGGCAACCGCCACACAAATGGGAGTCGAAACCTTTGGGCGTGGTCGGCGGAGTGGTAGAGGAGAAATCGAAAGTCGTTCTCTGAACTACATAGCCATTGGCAGCCTGGGGGAGGAGAGCCAACTGGAATAGAAAGTAAAAGTAGACGGTTTAGTAAAGGTTATTGTAACACGTTGGCGTCTGCAGGGGGTGTTAGGTGGGCTTTAACCCCCCCCCCTCGCATTCATCAAGACGAAAAATAAAATAAAAGTTGTCTCAATTTAAATTACAGCTATTGACGATTGTGTGCCTAGTACCGCTGTATTTCTAACATCTCAATATGTTAAAATGTTCCCTTTCAAAGTTGATGGTCCATAGTACATGAGAAGTAGAGTTCACCTGTTTCCTTAACCTCGCCATATTAAAGGAATGTGTGGTCAGCACTATGCCGAGCCGTCTTTTCTTTCCCTAACGTGAGTCAGCTTCCTACCAGAGCTGGGTGGACTCAGGGACATTCCACGCGGAAGAACCCATATTCGAACTTGACACTTTTTAGGTTAGTAGTCGTATGCTCTACCTGTAAACCGCATCGTCCCATGTTTCAATATATCAAAGAAATAAAAAAATAAACAGCCGTTTTTATCTCACGTACTCTTTGAAATAATAAATAATAAAATAGTAATAATAATAAAAACAAATCGACATTAGCGTATTGCGCCTTTTTCTTTAACAAATCTTGAGACATATTACATTTTGTTTGTGTAAGGGGGCACTCCAGCCCCTATTACCCTCTATTCGTGACAACTTAAAGAAAGCTATCTAGTTTCAAGTAAATGGTGGACAAATTTAAGTTTGTGACCCTTTCTATAGACTTGGTACCCCTATAAATCAAACAAATATTTCTGGAATAGATCTAGTTTCTTTTCGGCGAGTCGACTGTAGGGCTAGTAGGTTAAGGACAATTCTCTCTCCAGGCAGTCTTCGTAGTGAACAGATTTTGGGGAGAATTATAAAGTAAATGGAAAGACGTCTAGTCTAATATAAAATTCGAACATTAAGTTGTACTCACCAGAATAAAGACGAGTAGCTTCATCGTTCAACGAGAATGTTCGTCAGAAGTGTTTCTTCAAATGAGATTTGGACTCTCCACGTTTTATTATTATACAACCCCATATAAAACACAGACAGCCCGGTTAAATGCGAAACGAAATTAATGCTAGTATGGTGAACGTTATTTCAAACGTTGTTTTGTTTGTATATTGTCTTTCCTGTCAGTCAGTCAGCCAGCCAGCCAGCCAGCCAGCCAGCCAGTCTGTCTGCCTGTCTGTCTGTCTGTCTGTCTGTCTGTCTGTCTGTCTGTCTGTCTGTCTGTCTGTCTGTCTGTCTATCTGTCTGTCTGTCTGTCTGTCTGTCCGTCCGTCCGTCTGTCTGTCTTTCTTTCTGTCTTTCTGTCTGTCTGTCCGTCTGTCCGTCCGTCCGTCCGTCCGTCTGTCTGTCTGTCTGTCTGTCTGTTCGTCCATCCGTCCGTCCGTCAGTCAGTTCGTCCATCCGTCCGTCCGTCAGTCCGTCCGTCTGTCTGTCTGTCTGTCTTTCTGTATGTTTGTCGGTCGGTCAGTCGCTCGGTCTGTCGTTCTGTCCGTCTGTCCTTACGTCAGTCTGTCTGTATATCTGTCTGTCTATACTTCTGTTATATTTTGTTTGTCTATTTTAGATAAGAGACTAATGCTTTGAGTATTGCTTTTAGATTTTTAAAATTCATTCATTACTGCTTATTCATAAAACATTTTTTTTGCACTTGATATTAAAGATATAAACATGCTCTTGCACAGTTTAATAACTGCGTTAAACCATTATGTGAACTTCAGATTTGTATTTGTTAATACGTGAAGCAGACGCATTCTCTGAGACTTTTATTTTTTTGGTAATATTGATTGTATTTCGCTAAGCCTTTACTTAGTAAAGCTACACCTTTATAGCCCAACAAAATTGAATTATAGCCCATTTTGTGAGCCTTAAAAATTGTTTTGCAAATAAACCTATTGATCGTCGCGGTATACGCAGAACCCCCCCCCCCCCCCTTCCACTCCATTCCCAATCTTAGTCCCCATGTCTAATAAACTTAATAGCGTGTGCTTTAGACAAAATGTTGCTTTATAATCGCTTGTGTATTATTAATCTCTTGCTGGCTAAGAACCACATCACGTGTCACATCACGTATCACATGACCCGGGTTAGGACACAGTCTATTACATGAGTTATGTCCCATTACAATCTATTACATGATTTATGTCCCATTACAATCTATTACATGAGTTATGTCCCATTACAATCTATTACATGAGTTATGTCCCATTACAAGAAATTAAGCGGTCGGTTTGTTGATGTAGTTAACAAAAACAAATCATAGATAACGAGACACGACACAATCTATCACATGAGGGTAACAAGGAAAACAGAAATTTGCGCACAGAGAAAAATTGTGTACACTGAAAATTGCGCAGACTGAAAAAATGCGCAGTCAGATAATTGCACACAGAGAAAAATGCGCTAATATACGTTTTCGGAGTTTAAAGAGTTTTTTTTAGTGGGCATTTGGACAGTATGTTGTCCAGCCGTTAGTGAGTTTATTGAAAGCTTGTTGTATGTCTGTTGTATGTCTGTTGTAAATCTGTTGTATGTCTGTTGTATGTGTTTTGTATGTCTGTTGTATGTCTGTTGTATGTCTGTTGTATGTCTGTTGTATGTCTGTTGAATGTCTGTTGTATATCTTTTCTATGTCTAATGTATGTCTGTTGTATGTCTGTGGTTTGTCTGTTGTATGTCTTTTGTATGTGTGTTGTATGTCTGTTGTTTGTCTGTTGTATGTCTGTTGTATGTCTGTTGTATGTCTGTTGTATGTCTGTTGTATGTCTGTTGTATGTCTGTTGTATGTCTGTTGTATGTGTTTTGTATGTCTGTTGTTTGTCTGTTGTTTGTCTGTTGTAAGTCTGTAGTATGTCTGTTAATAACTAATTGTGGACCGACTACAGATATCTGTAAATCAAATATCTAATATCCTTCAGTACTTTTCTCTGCTTATAATGTAAAAACGCTAAAATGTAAATTACTCCATGTTCCTATAAGAACCTCAGACTATTTACCAATAGAAGAGATTAAGCTAAATTAATCCGCAGCTGTTTGTGATCCGTAAAACTTTTCCAGATTTTCACCGAAGTAGACCAATATATTTTTAAAATCCTGTACTGTTCATGATTATCTATTAACACAGGTACACAATTGTACATGTTTTTTATTAACATACACGGAGACTACTTTATTTTTACTTGGTAACAATAATTTATTATGTATAGTTTGAATAAATATAGATTTTCAATTAACTTCTTTTCCAGCTAAATTTTTAAAAATTTCAGTGTGAGCTGCGATATAACAGTGCAAGTTCTAAACATTATCAACATTTTATATGTAAGTGCTTGAATCGATAATAGTGGTTTAATATTAGTCAGGAAAATTTATTTGTTTTGAAACTTAAGATTGATCAAAGTTTTTAAAAGTTCTGCTAATTTAGGCGAATAATGTCAGGTCCAGGTTTTGCTCTTTGATCTGGTTACATGGAATCTCAGGATTTGTTCTGAAAATAGATGTAGATACAAGGTTTACACAGATGGTAATTTGGTAACCCAACATTGCTTCTCCAACTGGTAACCCAAGTGGCAACCCATTTTTTTTAGTGGTAACCCAAGTGGTAACCCATCATTGTTTTACTGGTAACCCAACATTTTTTTACTGGTAACCCAAGTGGTAAACCAACATTTCTCCATCAAATGGTAACCTACGTAAAACCGAACATTTCTTCATCAACTAGTAACCCAAGTGATAACCCAGGTGATACCTCAGGTGGTAACTCAAGTGGTAACCCAGGTTGTAACCTTAGGTGATACCTCAGATGATAGTCCAGGTGATAACTCAGGTGGTAATCCAGATGATAACTCAGGTGATAATCCAGGTGATACCTCAGGTGATAACTCCGGTTGGTAACTCAGGTGATAACTCAGGTGATACCTCAGGTTACCACAAGGTATCCACTAACTGCTCTACATCCCCCGCCCCCCCCCCCCCCCCCCCATGGACCAAATAAAAAAGACTTACTCTGAAGGTAAGCTGAAGACATCTGCTGTTAAATTTGTCAACTTTGAGTTGCTACAGATAACATTAGCCAGCCTCATCTTCCTCAGTGACTTTAACTGAGCTAATAAAACAACAACAAAAATTTGAGTTAAATAGCAACGTAAATATTGTTTAGTTTACTGAATTTTTTTTCGAAAATAAAAAAAAAAAGTTAACTTTCACAAGTTATACTTAAATAAACATTTTCAATTCATTTACACAATTTTTTTTTTCAAGTAAATAAATTCACTAACTCCCCTTAGACGTAGATTAGGAGTTATCGTTTGTAGTTTACTTTGGTAAATATTAAGCTCACTACAATGTAGTACTGCTTGCTTTCCCCTGATTATACTAACCCTAGTCCTAACCAATTACCACCCTTGAAAGTCGCCAAAAATGCTAGCCAAATTAAATCCTTCAGATCGGTTACAAACCCGTGCATCTCTTTTGAATTATTATTAGCCCTATCATATGTTGTAATACGTTTCTTCTCATCGTTAGATCCCTGATTTTAATTAAATGTGGAGTAATTAATTTCTTACCATCATTAAACCCTAGGTTTTGATTGTACGTGTCGAAGAAAAAGCGGTCGCCAAATTTAGTGTTGAAGAACTGGATCCCAATGAGACATTTCAAGGTGGGACCAACACTAGCATCGTCCCCAGTTTCTATTGGCTCATACAGAAGTCCCGTAAATAGGTCAATGTCGTGCACAGACCTAAAATTAGAATTATTGTTCAAATAGAAATCATATAGTTTGAATAAAAAATCAGTGAAAAAGAAGAACAATAGAAGAAATTAAATAGTAAATCTAATAGAAGTAAGCTGTAACTTCTTAATTATAATCAGTGGCGTAGCGAGGTCGGGTGTCACTTAATGGTGTCACCCCCCCCCAGAGGCGTAGCGACCCTTCCCGGGGACAAACTTTCAAACTTTTGATTTGCACCCCTCAAGTTTTCGATTTGCACCCCCCCCTCAAATTTTCGATTTGCACCCCCCTCAAGTTTTTCTCTATATATTTTACTATTTTTTGCCTTGGTGTCACCCCCCTAAATGGTGTCACCCGGTGCGGTCCGCACCTCCCGCTCCCCCTCGCTACGCCCCTGATTATAATTATGGCGCTTGTTATGCGAATGTGTTTGTTCTAATTGTATACTCAAGTATTAATTAGTCCGAGCAGCATTTCTTCGGCGCCATCCGCTTAAAGCACGCACCCACCGGACACAATTAGAAAAGAAAATGTGTAAAAAATATTTACTTTGACCATTGTTCGCCTCTTCTCTCTCAAATCTCCCACAAGTTTAAAGTTCACCCCCCCCTCGGGTGCCGAGAAATATTTTTTAAAGAAACCCTCTGTTTAAGCTGTCATCTGGAAAAGACTTCTTTACCTACTAATCATGCCTTTGGCGCTCATATACGATTTTTTTCAGTTCCCTATATTGCTAATTCTTTCCAAGACATATAGTTTATTATTTTATCGTCCATTGTGTCGATATTTACATGGTCTATAGAAAATACGTATCGTATTCTCAGTTAACTAGCTGGGTTAGATCAAGACCCCAGGTATATCTCCACTCACCTGTAGACCTTGGCCAGGTCCATGCTGTTTGGTCCCAGCACCTGCACATCAGAGAAGTTGCTCGGAGGGCGCAGACCGCAAAACGCCCTGTACTGCGAGTAGGGCGCCAGTCCGTGATCTCGCCCTCGTTGGATGTTCAACGAGACGAGATCTGTGCCCTCGCCGGGGCCTCGCTTTGGTTGAAACATGAATTTCGTCACATCCTCCACTGGGCGGTTGAAGGGGGTGGGGGTGTGTGAAATAAAGCAAGATATGATGGGATATAAAATGTGAAATATAGCAAGGTATGATGTGATATAAATGCAATTTTTATGCAATGTATGATAGGATAAAATTGTGAATATAGCAAATTATGATGTATAATGAGATATAATGAGATATAATTGTGAAATATTTTGATGTGTGGTGAGATACAAAAGCGAATTAATGGGAAAATTCGGTTGAATGTAGTTATAAATTAGCAGAGAAATAAACAATGCGTGGTGGATAGAAAGTGTGACATATAAACGACGTATGGTATAGCTTATTCGTGAATTTGAGGCTAAATAAAATGTGAAATTAGCGATGTTGGTGAGGTATGAAATTAAAAAAAAAAAGTGAGGGAATTTATAATGTGAATGTAAATCATGATAACTGATGTGAAGTATGAATGATGAATAGTAAAATGTGATGTGTAAAAAATGGTATTCTGTAAATGTCAAATATATACATTAACGTGTGGAAATAATAAGTTTTGATGTTTGAGGTGTGATGTGTTTTACATTTTAAGTCCCCTGTGAAATTTGGATTGTAACTTACGATATGTAAAACACTATGTGTGAAATAAGACTATCAAAGCATGGCGTGTGGGTAGACCAATATGTGAAATATGATGTGTAAAGCACGATATGTGAAATATGATATATACAAAATGATGTTTGCATTATATTACGATATGTGAGCCACGTTGGGTGAAATATGATGTATACAATATGATGTTTGAATTACGATATGTGAACCACGGTGAGTGAAATATGATGTATACAATATGATGTTTGAATTACGATATGTGAACCACGGTGAGTGAAATACGATGTAAATATGTGATGAGTAAACCATAATGTGCAGTATGTGCTGTGTGTGTATCCCATGCAACCAGCCTCCTACCAAAATTGGGGTCACTCTGCTTCACCTACCAACGTTGCGGTCACTCTGCTTCACCTACCAAAGTTGCGGTCACTCTGCTTCACCTACCAAAGTTGCGGTCACTCTGCTTCACCTACCAAAGTTGCGGTCACTCTGCTTCACCTACCAAAGTTGCGGTCACTCTGCTTCACCTACCAAAGTTGCGGTCACTCTGCTTCACCTACCAAAGTTTGCGGTCACTCTGCTTCACCTACCAAAGTTGCGGCCACTCTGCTTCACCTACCAAAGTTGCGGTCACTCTGCTTCACCTACCAAAGTTGCGGTCACTCTGCTTCACCTACCAAAGTTGCGGTCACTCTGCTTCACCTACCAAAGTTGCGGTCACTCTGTTTCAGCGGTTGTCTGACACTCTCGTCCACGACCCCACAGAGGTCAGCCAGCAACTCGTCGTAGTGTACCAGGCACTCAGTGGGTCTATGCACGTGAGAGGGTGAGTGAGAAAATATTGAGAACATTAACATTTAAAAACTAATATTTAATTATTTAATTGTTCACATTTTAGACTTGGCGATTATGGTTTTAAACATTTTAAACATTCACATTTTAGATCAATTCGATTTAAAACTTAACATTTAAAAACTTTCACATTTTAGACATACGTTTTAAAAATTAACATCTTTAAAAACATTAATGATGTATAACATTCGAATTTTTAAACAATTTCATTTTTAAATGCTCTCATTTAATACATTAAAATAAATTTTAAATAGATTAAAAATATTTGAAAGTGAAAACAGTAAAAATTTATAATATTCAAATTTTAAAACATTCTTTTTTTTTTTTTTTAAACAGGTCGATTTTAAAACATCTATTGATGAAAAATACGTATTTTAAACCGTTCACATTTGAAGAAATTATAGTTTTTACGTGTCATCACGCGGATACAATAATATAATAAGACTAAAGTAGACAATTATTTGACAGAGGTACGGATGAATGAACACTTACGAATGCAATAGATCTTTCAGTCTTTTGATCTTCTCACCTATACATAGACTTTGTGGAATAGTTGAATGCCCAAACCTTAAAAAAAACCACGAGATACATACGATTTAGTAATACATATGAAAGAAGATAATGAATTCATGATGATTGAGGTTTTGGGTTTTTGTAAAACGTGCTTTATTTGACTAAGGACGGAAAGCATTTTGAATGTTTGTAAATTAAATAGAGTTAAGAATTTTAAGTCACACACACACCCAACCCCTCCCCCCACACAAACACACTCACACATTCTCTCTCACACACACGTACACACATACACACTCATACACACATTCACACACACACACACAAATGAGAATACATAGGGGATGGGGGAGGCAAAATGTTACAACCTACGACAAAATTGGTTATCCGTATTTTACTTCACTTAAATTGACTTGACTAAAAATTAAGAGAGAAATATTTGGCTACTCAGAACTTAATTTAAATACCTTAATCCATAAAGCCAATAAAAGGTAGATAACAACTACACTATACCCATATAAAACATTTGGCCAACATCAACACAATAAAACAATATTTACAATCCGTTTTGACCTAAGACTCCCATCATCAAATCAAATAAAATTATAATCCATGTCATCCATGTCATCCAGGTAATCCATGTTATCCATGTAATCCATGTTATTAACATAATCCATGTTACCTGAAGGCTGCAGTAGAAAACTCATTAGCGACAGCAGGGTTAATGCTGGGGTTGTAGAAGGTCCGGCCTTCCCTGGACAGTAGACCCATACGTGACACCGCCTCCTTGCCGAGGATGATGGGCAAATATTCGTTGTAGTTTATCAACTGATGCATGGCTGGTAGATGTATATATATATATATATATATATATATATATATATATATATATATATATATATATATATATATATATATATATATATATATATATATATATATATATAGGCCTATATATATATATATATATATATATATATATATATATATATATAGGCCTATATATATATATATTTATATAATATATATATATATATATACATATATGCCTAAGATATATATATATATATATATATATATATATATATATATACATATATATATACATACATATATATATATGTTATTTATAAAAATAATTACATACATGACAGCTTGTTAGGATTTATTTATTAAACTATATTTAAAAACAGTAACACCAGTAGAAACGCCTTCTTTTCACATTGGTCGTTTTTAAAAACAACATATTATTTAAAAAAAAAAGTAGTAGTTAAGACAAGATAACCGCTATTGGCGACCTTTAACCCAACTAGAGTGATGTGACAAACAATTCCCTTCAACAACAGAAAGACGCTCACCTATGATGATTTTTCTGGTCAGCTGGAAGATACTCTCGTCCTTGTCTTTGGGTCTGAGTGTCCGGAGTATTTTGGCGATCCTGTTGTGCTCACGTATAAAGAGAGTGTGTAGCACCCCTAGGCCGGGCTGTTCGTTGACACGTGTGTCCCCTGGTGAGCAGAGGGGGAGTGGTACATCACTCACAGAGTAGTGCTAAAGTAATATATACTTAAACAGTTGAGTATGTGAACGGTCCCTCATTCAAAGTGTTGGGCTAAACTAATATCTACTTAAAACAGTTGAGAATGTGAACGGTCTATCACTCACAGTGTAGGGCTGAACTAATGTCTACTTAAAATAGGAGTATGTAAACGTTCCCTCATTCAAAGTGTAGGGCTAAAGTAATATCTACTTAAACAGTTGAGTATGTGAACGGTCCCTCATTCAAAGTGTAGGGCTAAACTAATATCTACTTAAACAGTGAAGTAAGTGAACGGTCCCTCACTCAAAGTATAAGGCTGGAGTAATATCTACTTAAACAGTTGAGTATGTGAACGGTCCCTCACTCAAAGTATAAGGCTGGAGTAATATCTACTTAAACAGTTGAGTATGTGAACGGTCCTTCACTGAAAGTGTAGGGCTGAAGTAATATTTACTTAAACAGTTGAGTATGTGAACGGTCTATCACTCGCAGTGTAGGGCTAAACTAATATCTACTTAAACAGTTGAGTATGTGAACGGTCCTTCACTGAAAGTGTAGGGCTGAAGTAATATCTACTTAAACTGTTGAGTATGTGAACGGTCTATCACTCGCAGTGTAGGGCTAAACTAATATCTACTTAAACAGTTGAGTATGTGAATGGTCCTTCACTGAAAGTGTAAGGCTGAAGTAATATCTACTTAAACACTTGAGCATGTAAACGGTCTAGCACTCACAGTGTAGGGCTAAACTAATATCTACTTAAACAGTTGAGTATGTGAATGGTCCTTCACTGAAAGTGTAAGGCTGAAGTAATATCTACTTAAACACTTGAGCATGTAAACGGTCTAGCACTCACAGACATGAATAATGACAAGGCAGGAGCGAATGACAGTGCAATCAAGAAGGAGAAAGTGGCGCTGGGTGGGGCACACACTGCAAAAGGCTCCCTCTAAAGTGACACGCCAGGCCTTTGAGTGGAACCCCCAGGGAAAGTTTAAGAGAGGGCGCCCAAGACAGACCTGCAGGCGGAGTCTTCACGAAGAACTACAGACAGCAAAGATGTCTTGGAAGGTTGCAAAATTAACAGCCGTGGACAGGACAAAATGGAAGGTTATGGTTGAAGCCCTATGCTCCACAAAGAGTAAAGACGATTAATTAAATCAAGTCAATATAAGACGGTGGCAAAACCTTTTCTGGGATGTCTGTAGATTCAAAAAATCCCCCCCCTCCTTTGGTGTATTTTATATGTATATGTGTATGTATTTCAACAACACTATCTTTATTACCCATCACTTTTCATTTCCATACACCATTAACATTTACTACACGCAAACGTCAAGTTTGATTGTTTAAGTTTAAAAAAAAACATTCTTGTGACTATTTTAAAATGAAAAGTTGTGCTTGTGAACACATTGTTTTAACAGGTTGCTGTTTAAAGTACGTCCACTTAATGATCAAGGCATCTTACAAACTGACCATAGTTCATTCCGCGTTTTACGACTTAAGAAAATGACCCTCACCTGCTAGCTGACAGAAGTCACTGGAGTTTGGTTTTTTGATGCAGTTTTGTACTGGTGATTGGGGTAGGAAGTTTCCACCTGTTGTCTTCATAAGATAACCTTAGCAATACAATCAAGTACATTTATGACATTCGCCTTAGTTAGGTGTTATAAAAAATAAATAAACGAAATAAAGCCTTTTAAATTAATAAACACAAAAATTGTTAATTTATTATTAATTATATTCTAATTAGAAGTTTTACATTTTTTCATATTTGGCAAAACTTCTACTTGAAGATTCCACATTTAATAAATAATTTCAGAAATTGCACAAAGCAGGAAGTATAACTACAACTGTCTAATCCACAGCACAAATCTATTGAGTAGGAACAGATAACTAAAACTGTTCTTTATACTACACAAATTTATTGAGTTACCTCCCTCTCTGAGCGCCATCGACTGATTATAAATAGATCCGTACACCATAGAAGCATCCATGAAGGAGGTAATGACGTTTATCTGTTGCCTGGGTCCTTAAATAAAAATAGGGCATTATATTAGTTCATAAATTATCTGTTGCCTAGGTCCTTTGTTAGAAATAGGTCACTCTATCTAAATATATAATTCTCTTCTGGGAGCCGTTAGAAAATAAAATACTTAAAAAAAACTTTTTAAAAAACCACGTTTTTCTTGTGGACTAAAAAGTAGAAAATAAATTTTTCTTTTGTGCTTCCTCGAGCTGTGCAGATTCTTGAAATGACTGACAAAAAACGTGGGTACGTTCACCATCAAATTTCCCGACCCATCTGCCCGACCACACTAAACTAAGCAGTCAAGAGAAACCTAGTTTGCACACCTTATTTTAGTTCAGTTCTTATGCCATTTTGTTTTCTCTATTTAATTACTATATATGCAATTGATGTCCATGTCTTTGATGCTATGTAAAACCATCAAAAAATTTATTTTTACTATTTTAATTGTTTAAAACGTAGTAAGTTTTTTTATATGAGGAAACATTTATTAAAATCTAAGATTGTGCATGCAGAATACAAATTTAAAAAATTAATAAAAATTGTTCTTAAAATATTTTTATAGAACAAATCACACTTATAGCAAAGTTGTGAACCTTTTTTTTTACAAAGTTTAATTAAAATTAAATCTCTTTGAAAGATGGAAAACATCAACGATAAGTTGTAAATATTATAAACATTTTATCAGACAACCAAGCATGCTCACAAGTTAGCTACAATATTTGGTTTAATGCAGTTTAAATAATGCTAAAAGTTTATGTACACAGTATAATAGAGGTTTAAATAAAATAAAAAAATTAAAGCGACTTAGAGGCTTGACTTAGAGAATTCATCACAAGTATCTTGATAGCTTTGAGATAAGATATTTTGTCATCTTTTTTTAAAAATATAAAATTGACTATAAGATGTTCACAGACTCATAATCAGAAAGATTAAAGAATACACAATTTTTAAACAAAATCTGTTTCAAAAAGAAACAATTAACTAAATATAGTTTGTAAACTTGACTGATAAAAAAACGTATTAAAAATTTAAAAAATCACTTTTAAGGATTAAGTAAAATCATGAGTTTTCCATTCCTACTTGTCTAAGGGAAAATTCAACCTTTAGATTCAACTGGAAGCTTGACAAACATGTGATGAATCCTCTGTTGCTACTATTAGCTTTGTTCATCTTGTTGTATGACTATGAGAAGAAACTCCTTATCAGGTGCGCACATGATCTCATTCCTACGGGAACGAATGCGCTAGAACTTTATGTCATTAGAAGGGTGTATATCTCTTACAGTGCTGCGTGCCCTTGCAGTCAAACTATGAATAAGACTGGCATATTACACAGTGGTGGAATTGTCCAGAGTTGTTTTAATGGGAATACCTCCACTGTTGACAAGTAGGCCTATGGTCCCAGTAACACCCCTGTGTGACTGTATTCTTTTAATTGTCTCTTTAACTTCGGCAGCCATTCTGTTCTGTCTGTTATCACCGTTGCTATGATAGAACTTAAAGTATGTCGGATTGCGGAAGCTATTACGCTTGTACATTCAACTTAACAGACCATAAAGAAAAACTTCGTTTACCAGCAAACAGACGATTTAAAACGTGGTAATTATTTATTTTTAAATTTTTTTTTATGTAGAAAATAATTGGATGGAAATCTATGGAATGAGAATGCTGTTGATAGGGCGAGGGAAAATTTAAATTATATGTAAAAGTATATTCTTAATGTGTTTCACTTAATATTAAATAAAATTTTACAATTAATGACTTAAAAGAATACTCTATTATGTTTTGTTTTGGATTTCCAACATTTAAGTGATAAGATCTAAAACAATACCATTAGCATTTTATTTCTACAAACACATTTGTCAAACTTATTTCACATTAGAAAAACTTATTTTCTTTGTTATGTAAGGGAGGTAATATTTTATGTTTTAGTTAATTTGCCTTATCTATCTATATAAAAAGCAATGTATGTCTGTTTGTCCTTTATGCATTACTACACCTCTCATCATATCGCCGTGAAACTTTGGGAAGTTGTTGAGAATGTTCCTGGGAAGGTTTCTGCGAAAAAAAATATTTCAAATTCGCAAGGGTGGCGCCCCGGCAGGGCGCGATTTGTTTTTCTCTATATACGGTATATAAAAGTAAAAGTCGATTTTTATTTGACACCATTCATCTGATCGCTATCAAACTTTGGTGAGTTCATAAGAACACTTTAAGGAAGGGTTCTTTAAAAAAAATCATGTATAATTTCACAAGGGCGGCGCCACGGGAGTGTGCGTTTTTTCTCTATATACCGTATATAAAAATAATAAAAGTGAATTGCCGTGACACCGTTGACACGATCGCCATGAAACTTTGGGAAGATGTTGAGAATATTCCTGGGGAGGTTTCTGCGCTAAAAACATTTTCAAATTCGCAGGGGTGGCGCCCCGGTAGGGCGCGATTTGTTTTTTCTCTATATACGATATATAAAAATAAAAGTCGATTTTGGTTTGACAGCGTTCACCCGATAGCCATAAGACTTTAGGGAGTTGATTAGAACACTCTAGGGAAGTGTTCTGTTAAAAAATAATTCTTAATTTCGCAAGGGCGGCGCCACGGGAGGGTGCGATTTTCCTCTATATTTGGTATATAAAAATAATAAAAGTGAAATGCAATGACACCGTTCATCCGATAGGCATGAAATTTTTGGGAGTTAAAACAACTCTAAGGAAGGGTTCATTAAAAAATCATTTTTAATTTCGCTATGGGGCGTTACAAACGATTACTAAATTGAATCAGGCGTGTCCTCTGGCGCACTGGTAGGGTGCGATTAAATAAAAATGTCTGCTTTGGCCCCCAAAGGCTCACATGGGCTGTAATACGTTTTATTTTAATTATTAGAAAAATTAGCCAAGGTTAGATTATTAACCGGGATGTTTCTTTTTGTCCGTAAAAAAATCCAAACAGTTGCGTCACTTTGCGATGCAATTAGCATCTATTTTTAGATAATCCAAACAGAAATTGAGATCGAGCATCTAAGAATAGACCATTAGTAACGCTAATATATTGCATCAGTCACACTGATGTTCAAAACGCGTCAAATAAATTTTTTACGTGTTAAATAACAAATCCTGTTCATTTGTGTCACTTTAGTGGATGACGCAATCTGCATCATTGTTAACAGGATGCTATTTTAAGGAGCCAGGGGTCGTACGCCCATGCAGTAGTGTAATCGGGGGAGGGGGGGGGGGTGGGGGCTCCTGAGAGCGGGCCTCTACGTCTCTGGCACATGGGCGGTCACCGAAGTTTGTTCTACCATATTATTTCGGTGAGTGATTAATGTACACTCAAGGTTTTCATGCGTAGTGTAGGTAAACCCGTGTCCCGATATTTATGATCCAAGCGCAGGCATTGTTTACATTTAAATAACTCAATTTTAGAAAAGAAGGTCACGCGTCTTAAAACATATGATTGGTAACGCGTTGGTGAAATCCTTCTAATATATTTCGTCAAACTTTCTTCTATCCCCGCGGCAACGCGCGGGAAGGGGGGGGGGGGGGGGGGGGCGGGTACGCTAGTAAGTTTTAAAAGTTGCGAATCTAGATTCTAGAGTATGACTTTGAGTAAATGGGGAAGCATAGTTCATACTCTTGTAGCTTTTCCAATAGCAAAATAGTACCAACATATTTGAGTAAATGGTACCACTATGTTGTTAGGTACATTTCATTTATTATTTCTTTATGACTATCGTAGTCTATCAACCCAACACAAAAAGGACTGTGTGATTGAATTATGGAGCGTTCGGCTGCTAACTCGAAAATCTCGTGTTCCAATCCCCGCCTCGAGTCCGTAGATCGTCGCTGAGTCCACCCAGCTTTGACGAGTACTCGGCTCACGTTAGAAAGAGTAAAACGGCTGACCAAACTATCCCTATCATATTTCCGAGGTCACCGAAACAGGTGTGCTCTACTTCACCTACCGTATGGACCGTAAATTTTGAAATGCTTCTTTACCTTTTCACCCAACACAAATAGCAAACGACACTTACTTAATTTAGCTCCGTACTCTTTGGTGGCTTGAATGGACCGGACGAACTCCAAACATTTGCCAGAGAAATGTTGCTCATCCTCTGGGATCTCAATGGGAAAACAATTCCTGTGGAAAAGATAATAGGCCTGTATGTCAGAGGTAAGAGGGACGAGACATAAACACAAGCAGTTTCATTAAACTCACATACTTAACGGCCTACATGTCAGAGGTAAGAATAAAGGGGCCAGACGTATACACAAACCCTTTCATTAAACTCACATACTTAAAGGCCTACATGTCAGAGGTAAGAATAAAGGGGCCAGACGTATACACAAACCCTTTCATTAAACTCACATACTTAAAGGCCTACATGTCAGAGGTAAGAATAAAGGGGCCAGACGTATACACAAACCCTTTCATTAAACTCACATACTTAAAGGCCTACATGTCAGAGGTAAGAATAAAGGGGCCAGACGTATACACAAACCCTTGCATTAAACTCACATACTTAAAGGTCTACATGTCAGAGGTAAGAATAAAGGGGCCAGACGTATACACAAACCCTTTCATTAAACTCACATACTTAAAGGCCTACATGTCAGAAGTAAGAATAAAGGGGCCAGACGTATACACAAACCCTTTCATTAAACTCACATACTTAAAGGCCTACATGTCAGAGGTAAGAATAAAGGGGCCAGACGTATACACAAACCTTTTCATTAAACTCACATACTTAACGGCCTACATGTCAGAGGTAAGAATAAAGGGGCCAGACGTATACACAAACCTTTTCATTAAACTCACATACTTATATATCTACATGTCAGAAGTAAGAATAAATTGGCCAGACGTATACACAAACCCTTTCATTAAACTCACATACTTATATATCTACATGTCAGAGGTAAGAATACATTGCTCATACATATACACAACCACTTTCAGGAAACTTACATACGCCTACTTATATATCTACATGTCAAAGGTAAGAATAGAAGGACCAAACTTTCTTTAAACTCACAACGGGAAAAATAGAGGGGCCAATGTATACAGAAGTCCCCTCATGAAACCCGCATATTTACAAGTAAAACCCTAAAACCTACGTATTTGTAATTAAACACGTAAAACCCTACAAAACTAACTGTTTGTAATAAAAGAAGTACAAACACTACAAACCTACCTGTTTGTAATAAATGGTGGATAGCCACCGTTTGGTCCACAACATTTTATAGCGCTGTCGATTTCTGTCAAATAGTAAACGAAAAATAAATGAATTCAACGCTAATAGCACCTTTATATATATATATATATATATATATATATATATATATATATATATATATATATATATATATATATATACATACGGTTTTTAGGTCATGTGACCTAGTGACCCAATTTCATGACCTACCGTTTGCAATAGGTATGGGCGACATGTGTTATGTACTGCAAGATCTACCTGTTGCTATGGAAATGGCCAACAGGTCATATTTAACCTTCTGACCCCAATTCATGACCTACCTGTTGCTGTAGGTCTTGTATTATGTACTGGCCCATGCATGACCTACTATAGGAATGCCAGACTGGTCATGTATGTTGTACCGCCCCCATTGTATGACCCACCTGTTGCTATATATGTGACAGCAAGGTCATGTATGACCTTCTGACCCCAACTCATGACCTACCTTTTGCTATGGGCATGTCCCACAGGTCATGAATGACCTTCTGACACCATTCATGACCTACCTGTTGTTGTAGGTATTCAGACAGGTCATGTATGACCTTCTGACCCGACTTGTGACCTACCTGTTGCTAGTTATGTATGACCTTCTGCCATCCCCCCTCCCCGATTCATGACCTATCTGTTACTGTAGATATGACAGACTGGTCAAATGTGACCTTCTGACCCCGATTCATGACCTACCTGTTGCTATAGGTATGGCCGAAAGGTCATGTATGACCTTCTGACCCCCACTTATGACCTACCTGTTGCTAGTTATGTATGACCTTCTGCCCCCCCAGATTCATGACCTACCAGTGGCTATAGGTATGGCCGACAGGTCATGTATGATGTACTGCCCCCATTGCATGACCTACCTGTTGCTAGTTATGTATGACCTGCCCCCCTCCCCCCCGATTCATGACCTACCTGTTGCTATAGGTATGGCAGAAAGATCATGTATGATGTACTGCCCCCATTGCATGACCATCAGTGTGTAGTTGGTCAGCTTTATGATGGATGGGTGAGCCACATTGCTGACGTTTCGTGCACTGGGTAAGGGAAGGCCATCCTTACCAAACTGACGCGGGCTATCTTCTCCTGAGATATTGAAATGTAGTATAATCAATACAACATATTCTTAGCATAGGCTTCTTCAGTGTTTTAAGTTTATGAAAGTGACGTTCACATACGTAATAGGGCTTGTAAGTCTCGGTCTCTCTCGGTTAAAATTCGAAATCTTATTAGCCAGGGAGAGATATAGATTTTCTAACTTAATTAAATAGTTTGAACATGATTTCCAGTGATGACAAAATTTGTTTCTAGACCTTTCTTTAAGACTTTAACTTACGCAGAGTGCTTAAAATGCAACAATGATACAATTTATTTTACTAATAATAGAATCAGATTAAGTACATGATACAGATTCGAATAAATAGCTACAAACTGTGCGTTGGTTTAAAATAACCAGAAATTAACGTATGCTATATTTTTCTTTAAACTAGCCTACGATTTGTAATTTATTATAATATGTGTTCACGATTTTAAATAACTAACAATAGCGTAACTTTTCCAGTATTTGTTTTACCGATTTAATAAAAAATATTCGCATTTGCTTTGAAAAATACTAGCTGTCAAGTAAGAAAACGAGAAGTTGGTGATCTACTTACATTTACACATCCTATACAAAGGCCAACAAACACAATGTTATTTTAAAAATATTCACATTTGTTTAAAAAAAAAATACTAGCTGACAAGAACGAGAATGAAAAGTTAGTGATTTACTTATAAGCCCTATTCAAAGGACAACAAACACTATGTTTATTGATTTTAAAAGTATTGCATTGCGCGACTAAAAAAAAATCGTACCGTCAGAGTAGGCAGGGGGAAGCCACGTAGGGACAGCTGTGAATGAAGCACCCAGGTTCCTGAAGTTGTTGCAGCTGCCATCAATACTCCGGTACCTGTAACTGGTGCAGTTGAAACACCACTGTGGGGGGGGGGGGGTAGGAAAGAGGGGGTACAGTTAATGAGACAGATGCAGTGGGTATAATTTGCCTTATTAATTTAGATTAATTAAGAATGACTATTAGGTAATACACAATGTTAATATTTTCGGGTAAACAGCCTATGGCCAAGTGGGTTTCGTGCATTTGTCCCATTCGGGCAAGTTTCCATTGGGGAAATCGGCCTTCGGGCAAGTGTTTTTCGGCAATTTGTCGTAGACCCATCTGTAAGACCAGGTTTAGGACCAGGGTCGGAGCCAAGGTATAGGATATAGTACATCAACAAGAAAGAACATCCTCGGATACATCCTGCTGATGTTTACTTATAATTACCAAGACAACCTCGGATATGCCCCGCCAATGTTTATTTATAATTACTAAAGCATCCTTGGATATACCCTGCCTATGTTTATTTATAATTACCAAAGCATCCTTCGAATTTACGATGTCTATGTTTACTTCAAAGTACCATGAGATAATGACTTACTTCCGCTTTCTTCCTGAGTAGAGCGTACGGCCGACCCCTGAAGCTGCCCGTGGCCATGCCAGCGTGGGTAGAGGCCAACACGAACCAGGACTGTCTTTGTCTGCGGTTCTCCACCATCGACATGGTCATAGCTAGGGCGTTGAGATAAACATTTTTGCAGTGAAGAGTGATCTCCCATCGTTTAGGTATGCGACTCAAGTTTAATTATCTCCCTTTTTATTAGATACGTTATGGTAGTATTTTTTGGATATTTGTCTTGTTTTTATTTACACATTTTATAACACTGTTTGAATAACGTTTCAGTTATAGTACAGTGTTATGGTGATATACGTTCGTTTTATGGCATATACTTTTAAATCATCCCCCCTCTTTTTAAAATCAATTATTTTATTTACTTTTTATATCTATAATTTTATTCTGTTTCTTCTTCTATTTTTAATCAATTTAACTTTACAAACGTATATTTAAAATCGATTTATAATTTAAACAAAAAAATCAAAACAAACAAATCAAGAATAGTTATTTTATCGAAAAATGAAAAATAAAATAAATCCCGTTTTTATTTAGTACAATGTATGCTTCTATTTTGGTTTGATTATTTAACTAAACCAGTGTTTCTTAACCTTTTAATAAGGTATCGAACTCCACCAGTTTCATAAGCGCATTCACCCAACTTTTCTTAATAGTTCTATCGTCCGCACTGACAAAATCCATTTGTAAATTATGTGAGTCGGGTGTGCGTCTTGACCTACGTCGAATCCCTGAGACTCGCCAAAACCCTGGGGTTTGATGAAACTCAGTTTAAAAACCACTGAACTAGACTAAAATCTTAAGGCTACAAGTATCCTTAAAAACTATGTTTTTCTTAATTCTCATATTATGACGACCTTACTTTTATTTGGTTATTAAAAGGAGTTAAAATAGTCAGAGGCGTAGCGACCCTTCCCGGCGCCCGGGGACAAACTTTCGATTTGCACCCACCCCCTCGAACTTTTCATTTGCACCCACCCCCTCAAACTTTCGATTTGCACCCCCCGCTCGAACTTTTCATTTGCACCCCCTCAAACTTTCAATTTGGCGCCCCCCTAAGGTCGGCGCCCGGGTACATATGTCCCCCCCCCCCCCCCCCCCCCCCTCGCTACGCCTCTGAAAATAGTCGACCAGCGACTCATTCTTCCATTTAAACCTTCATGATCCGATGGAACAACTTTAGATGGAATACAGCATTTATTTGCAACCTAGTAGCTTCCCTTTAATCGCGAATGCTTTAGCTTTAAAACCTATAGAGAGCTATTATTTTTCTGTTCATGTGTGTACATGCCAATGTAGCAGATACGACATGATCAATGTAGTTTAGTTCAAACGTTTGGATGTAACATCCATATACCAGATGATGTCCCCATTTTACGCCCATCTGGGGAGTCTAGAGTTATCAGTTTCGTGAGAGAAAAAAAAGTTGCCTAAAATTTTCTCAACAAAAACTACGTACATGAAGTGAATATCACGCTGCCGAAATCCCATTGTATATACTAATACACAATAATCACGTTAGATAGAAAATAAGGGGAATTTATCTCCCTTGAACTTTATCGTATATTCTTTTATAACAAAAGAGAGGCGTGGGGGGGGGGGGGGGTTGTACTTCCAAGGTTATAGTGACATTTTTATTAGGTTTTTTTTATATCTGCATTTTTTAAACAGAATAGAATTGTATCGAAGAAACAATTGCGAACATAATAAACACAAACACTGTGAGTAAAATTGAGCGGGAAATTTGTAACTTCTGTAGGAAACATTGATTATATTTTTTGAGAAATCGGAAATTGCATAAAATACTACTTCCGGTCACCGGAAATAGTTCACAATTTGACAGAAAATATCGAATAAGATCATACAGCTAAGTATTAAATTTCGCCTAGTTAACCAAAACAGTAGCCTACTCAAGTTATTTGGTATTTAAGTAAGCCAGAAATAAAGTACAACTTCCGGCTATCGGAAGTCACTTAATATTATAAGTGATCCATAATCACATACTGGTGCATTACCTTACATTTTAAGAAAATCATTTGTTTTCTTCTTTTGAGGGCTAAATTATGTTAGTGCTTGTTATTAAAACGTGTTTTTTTATTTTTTAAATACCGTATTCACAAGAATTTCTGTTTGAGGGTAAATTAAAAAAAAAAAAGTAATGACTAAACCTACTTACCGTCATTAGAATGTACTGCACTGAAAACATGTGCGAAAACAAGCAGCCAAATAAACAGTCGTAATTCAGCCATAGCTATAAATATATTTACTTTCTTTTGGTAAACCAACAATATAACAATATAATTGTATTTTGCCCAAACTAATAAGGATTTTTTCGTTTTTTTAGTCCACGTTAAAAAACTTTTTGTCAAGTGAAAATAGCACAAAAGTCATTTCCGATTTGTAGTGAATGGACATTTTTGTGAACAGAGGTGCGTTATCCAATACATTGTTTCATACGATCGGTTTTATAAGCTACCTACACCAAACCTTGCAATGGACGTCAAATACTGCTGTGTTCATCATACTGACATTTATCTCACACGGTGCATAGCTTCAGAAGAAATTCACCATTTCTCACCTTATCTATACAACACTCGCGAATTCTCGTGTAGATCTCGGGAGTTCGTACGAACTAAAAACCGGTAAAAAAAATAACCTACTGAAAAGTGTTAAAAACAAACTTCAATATCAACGCAAGTAAAAAAATAAATGTATAACTTTATAACTTTATCGAATAAAAAAAATAATTATTACATTTAGATGAACGTGTGTTTCGATATTACTGTCGCACCGACCTCACTACGGTTTCAAAACCTATGGGGTAGTAATGGCGTATGTGGGGTGGAGGGTGGGGGTGATTTAATTAATTTTATCTCCCGACATCAACCTCATCTCCTGTCATTTATGGCTTAGCTTTCTCAGTTACGATTTTTTTAGTAGAATGAAAAAAAAAAGATTTTTCCTTTGACGTCTGTGAGGGTGAAAAGGACAGCTTGTGAGTGTTAGAGAGTAAACCTGGTCAGAGATTGTTGAAAAATGTGTTGGGAACACGCTTAGCTGGGTGTGTGTGTCGCAAGAGCAGCACGCGTGTGGGGGGGGTGGGGGAGAAAGGACAAATGCGTGAGAGTCTAGTTGTAGATATTTTCAGTCATTTCGACTCAACGGTTAAACATGATCCTTGCAATATAATACTGTTTATATACACACACATACACACACATAGACACCCACACACACCCACGTCCACGCCCCACACAAACACGCAGGCACACACATATGTATTTAGGCCCTATATATAAATATACAAATATGTATATACACATTTACATATTGATGCATATATATATGTATATATATATATATATATATATATATATATATATATATATATATATATATATATATATATATATATATATATATATATATATATATATATATATATATATATATATATATATAGATATAGATATATATTCCATTTTTACACATACAAACACACATATACATATACATATTTATAAATTGATGCATGTATATATATATATATATATATATATATATATATATATATATATATATATATATATAATATTAGTAGAGAATTTTGTATTCCAACCCGTAGGATATAGATACTGGCTGATGTTATTCAAAGAGAAATCTGGCTATCAACTGCATAAAGTCTCCTCATATATCAATCAAACATAAGCAACCATCATCCACTATCATGAAAATGGACATATCGATTGCCCTAAACCCTAAGGAAAAAAAAAACGCCTATTACGAATTGATTAAAATGACGAAGATGATTTTTATACTCAGATTTATCAGATAATTAACAATCGACTGACAGTATGGGGCATCAACCTTTGTATGCGAGCGATCAAAACATTTTTTGATCTTTATGCAACCGGTTAAAAATTATATTCTCTGGTTGCATTGAGGTTGGTTTTTTGCTTAAAATAATTCAATAATTTTGCTTAAAAATATTCAACACGCAGCTCTGTATATAATCTCCGCCCAGTGTTTCTTCCAGACTTTTTTTCCGGGGGGGGGGGGGGTCACTTGAAATTTTCAGGGGGGGGGGGGGGGGTAGACTTTCTTCGGGGGGGGGGGGGGGACACTGTTAAAAGTATATATTTTCTATAAATTTCATTTCGTTCGGGGGGGGGGGGGCGGTAAAAAATTTTCGGGGGGGGGGGGGGCGAGATGCCTTGAAGAAACTCTGTCTCCGCCAAATATGGTGTTTGATCAGTTCTCTATCTTGTGCATTGTTTTTTGTCAGCTTTCGCTATTTCCGAAATAAACCAATATTGATAAAAAAAATGGTGGGTCGGCGTGGTCGAGTCGGTAAAGCTCATGGTTGCCAAACCGAAAACAACTCCAATATCAAACAACCGAAAAAGAAAAGCATGCTGAAATCGGAGTCAATGACCTCAATGGCGCATACTCAGTTGACACGTATTGTGTTGGAGGAGATATGAATTTAAGTGTGTGATATGTATAACGAAATATTTTTACAAAAATTCAAAACACCATAAAGTTTTATTACAATCTTCGAGATCTATTTGGGAATTTGATTTCCAATAACATTCAAAAACAATTTCTTTTTGTAAAATAGAAAATAAAAACTGAAAAGAAACCTATTAAAATAAATAAATAAAATCTATATTTGAGATTAAATTATTTTCCATTAATTAAAATAAATATACAAATCACCAACAATAAATAAAAACAAAAGATCATTCTATTGACGCTACTATTATACAAACAAAGAGAGGTCTAGACTTTCTTGCTTTAGATTCTGGCACGGATACTCGGGATTGTTTCTGAAAAAAAGAAAAAAAGTTTTTTTTTTTAGTATCTATATATATAATTCTCTTCTTCGAGCCGTTAGAAAACAAGCTGCAAACGCTCTCCCTACCTCCCCACCCCTACATAGTTTTAGTGAGCTGTGTTCATTCTAAATGTTTACAAGCAGAGCCAACGATTTTAAACGTAGGGGGGGGGGGGAGGGTGAGGGAAGGAAGGGGGGGGGGGGGGTTATGGTCCTTAACGAGCTACTTATAGTGTTTTAAAGAAATATTTTCAGTGTCAGCGTTGGTACTGTCGAATTCACAAATTATGAATTATTGAAAATTAGAAACAGCTAAATAGCGGCGTATGTTATGCCGCGGGCCGGCTCGTTGTAAATACTTTGTCTATTACTATAAGGAGAGTCCATGCATGACATCCAGGGCCGGCGCTATCTATAAGGTGAACTAGGCGGTCGTCTGGGGCTCCATCCCGAGGTGGGTGGGGGGGGGGGCGCAAAAAGGTTTAATCGCTATTATCAAAAAATACATTATAATTAATAACTTTGATCATCTTTTATAAACTATAGATGGTAATATACAAAGGCGTCGTGCTATATTTCGGTGCACAGGACGAACTATCAATTTTGCACCACACCCTAAACTAGGTCTATATAGGCCTATATTTATTCGCGATGGTAAAAATGCAACCCCACCTCCCTAATTTGGAAAGGTCGGGACGATTTTTACCAGTCACTTTGCCTTTTTATTTTGGTGTCACATAATTGATGTAGAAAACGATTAAATGAGTTCGTAATTTAAACTTCAAACATTCCAAATAGTTATCTAATTTTAATAAGATTTTTAAGTCTCGTTTTCTCTGATTTTGAATTAGAAATCTGTCCTGGTGTATAGAGTTTTGTAATGACGGGGTGTTCAAAGTATTGTACTTGTTAGGTAAGTTTTGATGAATCGAAGGCTGTTGCTGATATAGTTTCTTAGGTATAAAGTATCGACTTGTGTCGTATTTTTTATTTGGCTGTTGTATAGTTGAAGGTCTAGTGGAATCTGATTGGTAGTATAGAAATAAGAATGTAGCTGATGAGGTATCGTAGTTGTGGAGTTCGGGACTATCGAGTCTTGTGGTATTAAGGTATCGAATTGTGTTGAATGTTAAAGTGTAGTAGTAGGTCCAGTGAAATCGTTGTTGATTGGGAGTATCGTTTGTAGAGCTTGGTGAAGTTAAGCGAGTTGGTGTCGTAGTTCTGGAGCATTGAGTCTAGTTATGTTTAGGTATCGAAGTTTGATACGTTTTGTGAACGAAGTAAAGTCTATCAAGTAGTCGAGTTTATCGTAAGTTAGATGATTTCAATTCAGGACGGAACACACTACAAAGAATGGTAGGCGTTCTCTAGCTAAAAAATCTTTAGTTTTCTATAGGAATCTATATTACCATTCTTAAAGTATTAATATATAACGAGCCGACCAGCTGCGTATCATACGCCGCTATTTAGTTTTTTTTTTCTACTTTTCAGTAATTTATAATTTGTGAATTCGACAGTACCAATGCTGCCATCTATATATATAATTCTCTTCTTCGAGCCGTTAGAAAACAAGCTGCAAACGCTCTCCCTACCTCCCCACCCCTACATGGTTTTAGTGAGCTGTGTTCACTCTAAATGTTTACAAGCAGAGCCAACGATTTTAAACGTAGGGGGGGGGAGGGGGGGAAGGAAGGGGGGGGGGGGGGGGTTTATGGTCCTTAACGAGCTACTTATAGTGTTTTAAAGAAATATTTTCAGTGTCAGCGTTGGTACTGTCGAATTAACAAATTATGAATTATTGAAAATTAGAAACAACTAAATAGCGGCGTATGTTATGCCGCGGGCCGGCTCGTTGAAAATATTTGCTTTAAAACACTATCAGTAGCCCGTTAAGGACGATAACTCCCCCCCCCCCCGTGAAAGCAGCCTCCTCTTAGTTACCTCCTCTAAGTTTAAAATCGTTTCAAACTAAATTATCTGCCCCTAATAGCCGTCACCAAACCCGTCTCTATGATTGTAAAATGTAAACAGAGTGAACACCGCTCACCAGATCATGTGGGGGTGGGGTGGGGGTGGTAGTGATAATGATAGAGAGAAAGAGAGGGGACTGCAAAGGCAGTTTTCTAACTGATCCCAGAAGAGAATTATATATATAGATAGATATTGTATAGGCTGGAATTTATAACCGTAAACTTTTTATTTCAACTAATATTTTTAAATATTTTATCTATAATTTTAGCAATGTTTCAAAAAGTTACCCGTATTTGATTTTTGTAAATAAAAAAAAATAAACTATAAGAAGTTGGAAGAAATCTAGTAGCATTTACATGTGTGTCATCAATATTGATTTAAAGTATGTTATAATAAAGCTACCGTGTTTAGACTTTAAAACAAAACCTACAGTTAAGTGGTCAATGAGTAAAATATATTTTTTTTATAAGATTACATAGTTAGTATAAATGATTTGTTAAACTTAATATGTAATGAAATTTACAACGTTTTACTGCGTTTTCCAAGCACGTCTTCCTTATATTTTATTAATTTAGCCTTTCTTGTGCAGGTTAATTCCCTTGAACACATTTTGGTATTTGGATACCGAAATGGGAGATAATTCGTTTCCTTAACTTTACATTCATTTCAAATTCCTGCACCTTAGGTTGACCGTTTACTTATAAATACAACTTTAAGTTATTATTTGCTATTGTAAAAATTAAATAGAGCGAAAGTTCTAAACAAAATAGGTTGATAGATTTTTTTTTTAGCATTATCAAGTTGGAAAACAAATACATCAGTAGCCGTTGAATGTTGCAATACTTAATGCGACTAAAATCGTCGTAGTCGCAAATTAATCAACTAATTAATTTAGTGTCTTTTTCATATTTTCACACTCTCCTAAAGGATTCATATATAACAGTTTAAGGTTGTAATCTATACATTTATAACCTTTTATTTTTCAAAAACAAAAAGATCGTTACATAATCACACAATATAGACATTTTACAATTATAACTAAAGACAGTCAAGCTTAAAACAGGTAAGTTCCGTTCTGGAACTCACATTGGGAGGTGTGTAGAGAGCACAGTGGTTTTTTTCCAGTCTTTTTTCACCCGGGAGTGGGTAGGGGGGGGGGGGAGAAGCACTTGAAATTACCTGAGGAGGAGTCTGCTATATCGTAAAGTACAAAGAAGACTCGTGGACTTAGCAATAATTTCAATATAATTTGATTACGCTTCCATAATGGAACTGAAGGACATAATACACATTTTTGCGACGAAGGAAGCAAGTAAAATTTGATTTTGATGTCTACATATAACGTGTATGCTATAGATACTAAATTAATATGTCACTTTTAATTAATTGTTTTCTTATACATATGTTTTAGTAATTAATTTGTGTGAAAGGGGGCGTTTTAATAAGTTTAACCTAGGGCGCTAAATAACCTGGCGCCGGCACTGTTAACATCATGCATGTAAAATTAGCCGATCTTTTTTTGCTTTCCCTTCATTTTCAGTATTCACAATTAAAATAAACCGGGAGTGATCTCCCGTAAACTTTCTCGAATATTCTTATATAACTCGGAATTAGTACTTCCTTTCAACGGAAATTACTCAAAATTTGACAGAAGGTAGAGAATTAGATCTCTTACTTACATGTGAAATTTCATTTATCTATCTCAAATAGTACTCAAGTTATAGGCTTTTGAAAAATTCAAAGTAGAAAAAGTACCACTTCCGTTTGTCGGAAATTGCTCAAAAGTTGATCAGGATCTACGATTTTGATAAAATACTTATATATGAAATTTTATCAACCTAGCTGTAACGGTACTCAAGTTATCGTGTTTACACACACACAGACACACACACACACACACACAGACACACAGACATACGGACAAGATTACAAAATTATGTTTTTCCGTATCAGTGAGGTGTAAAACGTCGAGATTTGTAAAAATCTCGATTTTTTTTGCACGATTACAATACTTTCTCTATACTTCGTATATACGAGAAAGTAAAAAGAACCACCCCGATAATTAAACGACGCCACATAATTTAAAACACCCCTAATGAATAAATGAATATGTATAGTATATTTAACAAATTCATTAAAAAAAAACCAAAACAACAACAAAAACAAGAAAAAAATCAATACGCTGTGTCATATCCCCAGAGGCGTGGCGAGGGGGGGGGGGGGGGGTTGGGGGTGCGGAACGCACCGGGTGACACCTTTTAGGGGGGTGACACCAAGGCAAAAAATAGCAAAATATACAGAGTAAAATGATAATTCCACTTAATTAAATGATTGATTTGAGTGTTAAATAGTCTATTAAGAGGTGCAAATCGAAAGTTTGAGGGGTGGGGGGAAGGGGGTGCATATCGAAAGTTTAAGGGGGGGTGCAAATCGAAAGTTTGAGGGGGGGGGGGTGGGGTGCTATGCCTCTGGGGTGTGACACCATTATGTGCCGCACCGGGTGACACCCGACCTCGCTACGCCACTGCATATCCCTACTCTCTCACAACACACGTAGATAACCTTCAACACAGTCAAAACCTAAGAGAGCCTTCACTTATAAACACACCCTACCCTAACGACTGTGTACTGTGTTGTTTATCGATCAGATCAATTATAATCAATAATTCATAAATGCATAATGTTTTTGGTATAAAGGGATAAAATAAAATATGTAAACTTACTTAGATGGGAGGGTAAAGACATCCATTTGTACAGACCGTAGGTTTGTGTTGTGGCAGATGATTTTAGAAAAACTTGTGTTCCTTAAACTCGTGAGTTGAGCTGTGGGCAGTTAAAGAAAGGTCAGTGTTTCTTCCAGACATTTTTCTCCGAGGAGATGCCTGGAAGAAACTCTGAAAAAAGGTACTCTTTAAAGTAGGCTTGAAAAGTCTATGCAATCATATTAAATTTAAACATAAAAATCTTTTTAAAAATATGTTAAGCGATAAAATTATAATTACATTTTAAAAACTTAAAGCTCTTTGGGAACCATCGATTACACTCATTTCCATGTTTTTAGCGCAATTTCCATACTGACAATTGCGATTATGAACTCGTCATTTCTGGTGATGGATGGATGTGTGTCCGCAGCTTTAAGTCGTATCCCCTCCTCAACGATGCAATATCGAGGACTAGTTCCAAAAGCAAATATGTTAAGCAAGTTCCGAGGATGATTGTGGGCAAAAAAATTCCCGGGTTTCCTTCCTGGATTTCCCGGAAAAGCCAAAAAAAAAACCTCGAAAAAATACAATTTTTGGCCCATGTCTCGGCAACCAGACAACTTAGCGACTTGAAACATTTACCAATCGATTCCTGCCATAATTTAGAACAATATTGCCGAAGAAAGTTTTCAAAAATATCCTTTCGTTCGGTCACAAAAAATTAATTAAGGAAATTGCGCTTAAATTGTCACTAGACTTTTTATTAACTTGTTTAATTAAATATAAGCCGTCGAAAATTATATTAGATTTTTTTTCATCAATTCAAATATTTTTAAATACCGCCCTTAATCCCCCTTGAAGTAAACCGGAATTTCCAGGGATAGTAAAACAATGAAAAACACAATAATTTTTCTCCATGATAAAATACACAATAGCGATCTATGGTGTATAGCCTACTATTGTATTTATATTAAGTAATATAAAATCTCCTATTACCGCAACACCCTCACTTTACTAAATGAAATTAAAAATAAATGTGTTTTCTAAATTACTATTATATTACTATTAATGATTTGTTTGACTATTTCTAGCCTTAATAAAACCAGTGTTCAATTTGAACCAACTACATAAAAGTAAAATTTTAAAGTTTGCTTAAAGAGTCACAAATTAAATTTAGTAAATACAATTTTCTCATATTAATTAATTTGGTAGAATTACTTTGAGTTCCTTGAAAAAAAATACTTTCGTTAAGGGATTTTAGGATTTTAAAAATTCAACACAATATTAATCTGAATATAATGAGGTTAAAAACATTCTTCAAACTAATCAAGCATAAATATTTTACATACAAATAATACAATGTAAACCGTAGTAACAATCTATGACCAGTAGTGCTAAATATGCTGAGCACATTGTATACAATATATGGTCGTCCTGTTGATTTTACACGTAATGTTTCTGGCCATATCAAGTGAAATTAAACTTTTCTAGCTACAAACACTTTTAAACTGCATATTACATTTTTTTATTTTAAACAAAAAAAAAAACAACAAAAACATAATACACATGTATTTACATAGGCTTGTCAATTCTGTTTTTTGTTAAGTAAAACATAGCTTGGTTTACTATACTGCATGTAATCGTTTGAGTGTACTCTAAGCTAAGACGTGTCGCCATGAAACTGATCTCGACGTATGAATGGCAGGTTGACGTTGTGAACATTGGGGCCATCAGTCTAAGGTAGATAACTTATTGATGTTCTTACAAAGTTAAAGTCGCCCAAAGCAGGCAACTCGATGTGAGTTAAATGGGAGAAAATAACATAATAGCGGGTACATTGCTAATGTTTTACCATTAGAACAAGGTCTCAAAGATGGTAACTATCATGTTTTAAACGAACAAGGCAGATAACTCTAAGTGAGTTAAATTGGAGAAAATATAAAAACTTACTAAAAGGTACATCACTGATGTTTTACCATTAGTACCCGGCCTTAAAGATGGTAACTATCACGTTTTAAACATCAGAACAAGGCGGATAACTCTCTGTGAGTTAAATGGGAGAAAATAATAAAGTACTAGCTGGTACATCGCTGATGTTTTACCATTAGTAAAAGGTCTTAACTATCATGTCAGATCAAGGCAGATAACTCTCTGATATTTTAATCGTAAGAACATGCTCTAAAGGCAGATAATTCACTGGTGTTTTAACCATCAGAACATCTTCTAAAGGCAGATAACTCATTGATGTTTTAATCGATGGGAAAAGACATAAAGGTATATGACTGATGTCACGATAAGAACATGATCTAAAGGCAGATAACTTTCTGATGAGTTAATCGTTAGCAATTTATCTAAGGCAGATAACTGTTTTTAAATAAGTAGAACTTGTTCTAAAGGCAGATAACTCTGAAGTTTTCACCATTAGAAAACGGTCGAAAGACATATTTAATCGTTAGGACATGGTTTAAAGGCAGATAAGTCACTGATGATTAAGCCTTCAGAACATGGTCAAAAGGAGATGTTTTAACCGATAGACCACTGAGTTAAAGAACATAGCTCAGTGATATTCTTAGCGTTGGAACATGGTGTAGACTGTAGAGGCAAGAACTTAAAACTAATTTATAGCAATTAAAACTGTTTACACACTTTCACAAAGATAGATAATCCATACTATTACTAACTAGGTACAATTTTCATACCATTAAATAAAACTAGCCAGATAAATTTTCACACTATTTAATAGCTATTGCCAGATACATTTTTCATACCATTTAATAACTCACTAGATAGCTTTTCACGAAAATTAACGAATTTATAGTTATAAAATGAAAAATGAAATTGAAACTACAAGCTAATTGATTACATTTAGATCAGTGTCCGCAGAATATTGAATCCCCATTTAATTATACATCTGGAGTTTCAAGTTTAAAAATAAAATTGTAATTAGACGTTTTGTATTAGATCTATGTATAAGTAAACCATGTTAAATGAATGAAAGTAGGCTACAAGTAAGAAAGAAATATTACTATTGTAAATCTGTATCAGTCCTCACAAGCCGATGATGAAAACTGTAATACTAAAGCGAACACGGCTAAGCAAACTGACGCTGATAAATTACATGTCTGAGGCAATTAAAAAAAATAAAACAAAAAATCAGTTTATCGAACCAAAACATTCTTACCGTCACTAAAACCAATTCCCTGATCATAGGTGTCGTAAAAAAATCGATCTCCGAACTTGGTGTTAAAGAACTGGGCGCCAATCAGACACTTGAGGGTCGGGCCAACGGCTGCGTCATCTCCCCTGGACACCGGCTCGTACAGTAGGCCAGTGAAGAGGTCAATGTCCTCCACAGATCTTCAACGATTGTTTGATACATTATTAATTAATTACTGCAAGGGAAGAGTATTATGTAAAGAAGGGGGATAAGCGAAATTTTTACTTTATGACTTGGTTTTGCTTTGTTATTTCCCTTTTCTTGGTGTAAGTAACTTAAAATTTGTATCTATTTTAATTATATTGTAAACAAGAATAAAAAAGGAAAATAAAGTGATTTCTGTGGGGGTTTTGTTTTCTAATAATAAACCAAGCCATATTTTCCTATTCGTAAATATAATTTACCAACACATATAAAACTTGAATGATGGTACATAGACATTTAGTGTGCAGATGTTGGAAGTAAATTAATGAGCAGATAATGATTTTCAGGCTAATTTGTTATAATTTTCCGTTTTAGTTGCCCCTACATAGCTATTGCACTAAATAACGGCTCTATTTTAAATGTTGGTCATTCCATTTTTTAATTGAATTTTTTCGATAGTTTTAGTTCTCGATACAATTAAATTTAATGCGTGCTAAATTTAAAAGTTTTAACATATATGAATATTTAAGTAACGGATTCACCCACTGCAATTTAAAGACGTTAAGTATGAAAGCTATTACTTAAATTGTATGGGCGGTAAAAGATATTCTCTGTACCGTATTGCAAACATTTCTTGCCTGCATTTTTGGGCAGTAACGGCTAGCCCTTGTATCGCATTTCAAATATTTCTTGCCTGTATTTTGGGCAATGACGTCCAGAGGCGTAACGACCTATTCTGGCGCCAGGTATGAAATATCCATTTCTGCCCCCCCCCCCCCCTTCCCTTAATTGAGATAAAGTTGCCGATAAAGCGCCCCCACCCCCCCTCCCCTCCGGCTTTTTACCGGTCACTACTGTCCTGTAACAGTTTTTATTTTAGTGTCACATAATTAATGTGGAAAACAGTTAAATCAGTGTATAAAGCTTTGTAAAACTCTATTTTCTTAACCTTTGACTGTGTATAATTCAGTAATGCAGTGCAGAATGAGCTTTCTATTTATTTATTTTTACTCCGTTTGGCGCCCCATACACCCTTCCCTAGTTATGCCTCAGAAAACGTCTAGCCTCGGTATCGTATTAACATTTCTTGCCTGCATAATGTGCAGTGGATTCTAACCTTCTTATCGTATTAAGATGTCTTGCCTGTATAATGTGCAGTGAAATCTAACCTTCTTATCGTATTAAGATGTCTTGCCTGTAAACTTTACCCAGATCGCTGGCGTGCGGCCCTAGGGCCTCCGTATCGTTGAACGACATCACGGGCCGGAGCCCACAGAGGCGGCGCAGCTTGTAGTAGGGCGGCACCCCGTGGTCACGACCCCGCTGGATGTTCAAGGCCACGAGGTCAAGGCCTTTCCCGGGTCCCTTGGCGGGCTCGAATAAAAACCTGGTCACGTCCATGGCTGGCAAAAATATTTTTTAATGAGTTTTTTAATGAGTATTTTTTTAAAATGCGTCGTTTTTTAATGAGTTTTTTTAATGAGTTTTTTAAAATGTTTTTTTTAATGAGATTTTTTAAAGCGAAGGACAATACTAATAGGGCTGGTAAGTAGGTCAACAACCAGTTCTATGGCTCGTGCAGGTTTTATTGAGCCGTAGAACTGGTTGGTGACCTACTTACCAGACCTATTGCTGTAAAGCTAAACATACATTATTTTCATAAAATCCCCCAGCTATCTAATTATCCTTCTTTAAACTTCAAGTTAAATTTAATTTTATTATGTTTTCAAAAGTCATGACATTTCATTTTAGACAATGAAGTGCCAAGAGCTTTGAAAAAATACCTCATCATTCCTGTTACTGGCTTCGACTTAACGTTTCAACTGTTTATGAAATATTTAGTTAAAATTTGATCATTTTCTAGACCTACAAGACTTAGTAAAATATCGGATTTATATTGATTTTTATTGATTTAAATGGTGATTTTCATAAACAACGAAACTCCGATCACATTTCTTTAATTGTTGCCTACATTTTATGAATAACCGAAATTCCAATTAGATTTCTTCAATTGTTACCTACATTTTATCAAAGACTTACCAAAATTCCGATCACATTTCTTCAGTTGTTGCCTACATTTTTTGTTGTCTGCCCCAACCATGCTCGCTACAATACTGTCATAGTTTTCCAGACACTCTCCTGGTCTGTGGATACGGTTGGATACAATGGATAAAGTTCTTGGATAAAGTGACACCCAACGGAATAAGTTTGTGAATACAATGAAAAACATTTTCTTTAGATAATAAGGGAAATATTGTTATTAAATTTAGCTTTTCGCCTTGACTATATGATTAGTTTAGCTTTATAATCTTATCAAGAATCTATTGCTTTTTAATTACATCATTATATATATATATATATATATATATATATATATATATATATATATATATATATATATATATATATATATATATATATATATATCTATAGATCTATATATATATATATATATATATATATATATATATATATATATATATATATAGATCTATAGATCTATATATATATATATATATATATATATATATATATATATATATATATATATATAATGCTTAGAGAGAGATAGAGAGAGAGGGAGAGAGAGGGGGGGGGGGGAGAGAGAGCAGAAATAGAGAGAGCTAGAGGGAGAGAAAAAGAGGTTTACCTGTGAAATAGCTCCCTCATCTTTAAAGTACGATCTCCTATACATAAACTCTTCGGAATCGTTGAGTGTCCGAACCTGAGGAGATATTTCTTTAAATCGGCACTTGCCGTGTATGCTGGTTTTACTGTTAATCTAACATTTCGGCTAGAGTGCGATCTTTATAACGAAGGGAGCCGAGTTCCAATCCAGGTTGGACGAGTCATGTCTGGTCATTTGGTATCTAATGAGATTTTCACATCTTTGATTTGAACAGATCAAAAACCTACTCAGCCAAACGCCCATTCTGCCCGTACCTTTATTCATCATCATCTTTTCTCGTTCGTGCCCAAGACGCCCGGATGCAGGTGAAGTAGAGTTCAATAGTTTCAGAGACCTCGGCATATGAAGGGATAATATGGTCATCACTATGCCGAGTCGCCTTGGTTTCCATAACGTGAGTTAGGTACCCATCAGAGCTGGGTGGGCTTAGGGACGTTCTACTGACTTGGACCCGGATTTAACCTCGAGACTTTCGGGTTAGCAGTCTACCTCTCTATCTCTATGCCACTCCGTTCCATTCTAACCCTATAGTCACATACCAAGATCAAACTGAACCAACCACCTCTTCACCCCCTACCCCTATTGTTCTATGACCTATACCCACTTCACCCCCTACCCCTATTGTTCTATGACCTATACCCACTTCACCCCCTACCCCTATTGTTCTATGACCTATACCCACTTCACCCCCTACCCCTATTGTTCTATGACCTATACCCACTTCACCCCCTACCCCTATTGTTCTATGACCTATACCCACTTCACCCCCTACCCCTATTGTTCTATGACCTATACCCACTTCACCCCCTACCCCTATTGTTCTATGACCTATACCCACTTCACCCCCTACCCCTATTGTTCTATGACCTATACCCACTTCACCCCCTACCCCTATTGTTATATGACCTATACCCACTTCACCCCCTACCCCTATTGTTCTATGACCTATACCCACTTCACCCCCTACCCCTATTGTTCTATGACCTATACCCACTTCACCCCCTACCCCTATTGTTCTATGACCTATACCCACTTCACCCCCTACCCCTATTGTTCTATGACCTATACCCACTTCACCCCCTACCCCTATTGTTATATGACCTATACCTACTCACCGAAACGCTGCAGTAGCGAACTCCGAGAGCACTCTGGGGTCAAGGTTAGGGTTGTAGAACGTCCTTCCGGTCTTTGAGACTAGGTTCACGCGCGTGGCGTCGGTGCCGAGGATTTTCGGGAGGTATTCGTTGTAGTTGATGATCTGCTGGAGGGCTGTGTGGACACAAGGTCATTACTTCATTATAATTAAAGGATGGTTAGTCCCATAATCTAGTTGTCTTGTGATATCGTTTCGAATATAGTTTTTGTTAGATTAATTTAAATGCTTTTTTCTGAAGTAACGATCCTTAAGGCAGATGAAGTAGAGTTCATATGTTGCTTAACCTCGGCGTATAAGGGATAATTTGGTCAGCACTATGCCCAGCCGCGATTACTTTCACTAACGTGAGTTAGGTACACAATCGGGCTGACTGGACTCTGAAGAGTCATGCAGACTCATATCCGGACTGAGATCCGAACTCGGGATTTCGGGCTAACAGTCGAGCGCTCTATCACCCGACCACTCTATCGCCACAATAGTTAGGGTTAGATAGCTGAATTATTAAGAAAAAAATTGTAATTACTAATTTGATCATTTTTAAATCAACTAAGATAAAAGTAATCAGAACATAATATTTTAAAACAAGAAAAACAAAATTAGTGCAGCTTAAAATGTATTTAGTTTCTAAAAAAACAATTTTTCAAAAACAATTGTCAGTGTTGGCAGAGTGAACTCACTTGGCAGTATATTCTGCTGAGGCCTTCACTGGTAAAACTTCATTAAAACACATTACTTTGTCGCTTTAACGAGTATTAGGGTATGGATAATCGACTGTCACACAACTGTCGTTAAAATGACCGTGATACGAAATTATACTTTTGTAAGAGTTGCTTAATTTTTAACACTGTCTGTTGCAAGATTTAACAAGCTTAATGGAATAACTAATTGACTTGTACACTTTTGTTTTTGAAAGATTATAATTTAAACGTATTTAGGCCTTTCTTTATGTTAACACTATCGTTTTGAAGTTTTAACAAACATAATGGAATAGCTAATCTACCATAACACTACGGGAGAGATCTTGTCTAAACTGTCTCGAATACTCTTATATAACACAGCAGTGGTTGGCAATTCAGACTTACAAACATAATTTTTAATCAATTTTTAATTATTAAAACATTTTAAAATAGAAAGTGAACAGCAAACAATGTGTGTATAATAGTGCAGAATATTAGTACTTTATATGCGTTTTTTGAAATTGAAAAAAGCGTAAAGTGTTACTTCCGGTCAACAGAAATTACTCAAAATTTGACATAACGCAGGCAACTAGATCTCTTACCCATTTGTGAAATTTCGTTTATCTATCTGAAACAGTACTGAAGTTATAGGCTTTTGAAAAACCAAAAGTAGAATAAGTGTCACTTCCGTTTACCGGAAATCGCTGAAAACTACATTCTAGCTGTACCGGTCCTTAAGTTATCGTTTTCACAGACACATAGACACACACACTGATATACAGACAAGATTGCAAAACTGTGTTTTTCCCACTCAGGGAGATCTAAAACGTAGAGATTTGTGAAAATCTCGATTTCGATTTTTCACACGAATTACAATACTTCCACTATACTCCATATACGAGAAAGTTAAAACAAAACAACAACCTACCAATGATAATTTTCCTGGTCAGTTGAAAGACGTCTTCATCTGTGTCACGTGACCTCAACTTTCGCAGCTCCCCAGCGATCCTGTTGTGTTCCCTGACCCACATAGTGTGCATGACCCCTAGACCCGGGTGCTCGTTGACCCGGGAGTCCCCTGGTGATCAACAAAAAAAAACATCTATATTTAGAACCCATGGTAGGGGTGACGTCAGTAGGTAAATAGACACTTAGATGTAAAGATAAGTAGAGCATCATTTTCAAACGTTAAATTCCATGCTAGAAGATATAGTAGGGTTAGCCTGTTTCAGGGACCTCGGCATATGGAGAGATAATTAGTATGCTCAGCATTATCCCTAGCCAACTCCAGTCAGATACCCATCAGAGCTTGGCGGACTCAAGGAAGTCCTACAAAGTCGAGCAGAGGCTTTGCGACCCTTCCCGGCGCCCGTGGACAAACTTTCAATTTGGCGCCCCCCCCTCATATATCTATATATATAATTCTCTTCTGGGAGACGCTAGAAAACAAGCTGTAAACGCGCTCCCTACCACCCCACCCCTACATGGTCTTAATGAGCTGTGTTCACTCTAAATGTTTACAAGCAGAACCGGGTGACGACTATTAGGGGCAGATAATTTAGTTTGAAACGATTTTAAACGTAGAGGGAGGAAAGGGGGGGTGGGGGTGGGGGTTATGGTCCTTAACGAGCTACTTATAGTGTTTTCAAGAAATATTTTCAGTGGCAGCGTTGGTACTGTCGAATTCACAAATTATGAATTACTGAAAAGTAGAAAAAACAACAACTAAATAGCGGCGTTTGTTATGCCGCGGGCCGGCTCGTTTTTAATATTTATAATGCAAAAATGCTGCTAAAATGAGCTTTTAATTTTTTTCCAACAAATTTTGGCGCCCCCTAGGGTCGGTGCCCGGGGACATATGTACCCCCCCCCCCCTCACTACGCCTCTGGAGTCGAGCCCGGGAAATTAGGACTTACAGTTTAGCGGTCCAACGTTATATAAAATAACGAATAAGTCTATTGATCTCTAAACTAGTTAGTTCTATTAAAGTCGACATGCAGACAAAATGATTATGAAATAATTTTTACAATTTTTTTTCCGTTAGAAAGAGTTTGCTCCTATTTTTACATTCAAACGGAAAATTTATAAATTATTGAAATTCTGAAGTTCAATATAGTTTTTAACCTAATATTTCAATCCATGGTGAATTATTATAAAAATATGAAACACATAATTCACTCTCTACACATTTTAGTTCTTAATTAAAATAATAATCATTAAAAAAGTTTTAAAAAACCCACGTTTTCTGATTGAATTTAAAAGTAGAAAATAAATGCTATACATCACAATAATGCAAGCGATCACTCTACTATAAGCGATGAAAAACGTGGGGCGCCGAAGTAAAAGTTATATTACTATTGATTAGATAATACTATTGACTTTTATTAGGGAGCTTGTAGAGAGTCAACAGTATTAGAAACTGTAAGAAAAATCACGGCGCCCCACGTTTTTGATCGCTTATAGTAGAGTGATCGCTTGCATTATTGTGATGTATAGCATTTATTTTCTACTTTTTAGTTCAATCAGAAAACGTGGGTTTTTTAAAACTTTTTTAATGATTATTATTTTCTACTTTTTAGTCTTTGTCTGTTTGTTTGCATTAAAATCTTGCTATCGATTTTATCTTTTCACTTTTTTTTGGGTAAACGAAGACAACTCGTAAAAAGACAACTCGTAAAAAACACGTTGTGTGAATACGTTACTGACTAGAACACATAGATTTGAACCCGTGTCGAGTGGGATAGCAATCGTGTGCCCAACCACTCGACCATATCGTCTCCCCCATACTGGCCACCAGTTGTTACGGTTGTTTGTACACAAACACCGCGTGAACACTACTCAGTAAGCAAAAAGAGAGGGAGAGTACCGAACCTTGTTTTCATCAAATTACAGTTACTGGGTTATGTCCCTTTTTCCCACACGTTTTTACTACAATTATATAGCGGTCTAAAATGCTCAATAAAATGTTTCCATGGTTCAATTTAGTAATAATAACAATTGAATATTCTATTGTCATCCAAAACAAAGCTTCCCTGAAAATTTCAGCGCGCTAGCTAACTGGGAAGTGCCAGAAATTTCGATCGCAAGATTTGATCGGAAAAACAGAGACGAAAGCAAGTTAAAGAAAACGTGGGAATAAAACAAATTAAAAAAAAAATATTTCTCTCTTTAGACGGAGTTTACTTTCTTCTATGTTGACATTCTTGTGGAACGGTGTGGTTTAGTGGTAGACAACTTGCTTGTTACCACGAGAACCTGGGTTCGGTTCCTTATTCCAATACAATATGAGGTTGTGTTACCATTGTGCACTTGGTAACGGCCCATCCAGGTAACTTTACACCGGTTCACAATACACTATCGTGAAAAACGCTGTGCTTGCCTAACTGATACGTACAGAATCTGATTGATTTTATTTTTCTAAAAAAATTTACTTTCAGCGCGGCATGAGATTTCTCATACTTTATTTATTAACAGCAGTTAGATATTAATCATCTTCTTCTTTTCTTTTCCGTGCCGAGTTACACGGGGTAGATGAAGTAGAGTCTATCTCTTTTAATGACTTCAGTACACAAGGAATAGTGAGGTCAGAACAATGGCCAGCCGACTTTGTTTTCTGAACGTGTGCCAAGTACCCATCAGAGCTGGGTGGACTCATGAACATACTACAGACCTTAAACTTATGGGCTTATGGTTTCCTTATCCTAAATCAGGTACCCATCAGAGCTGGGTGGACTCATGAACATACTAAAGACCTTAAACTTATGGGTTATGGTTCCTTTTTGTTTCCTTATCCTAAATCAGGTACCCATAAGAGCTGGGTGGACTCATCAACATACTACAGACCTTAAACTTATGGGTTTATGGTTTCCTTATTGTTTTCTTATCCTAAATCAGGAACCCATAAGAGCTGAGTGGACTCAGGAACTTCTTGCAGACCCGACACTTACAGGCCAGTAGTCTTGAGTTCTACCATCCTACCCCACCGTCCCACGCAGATAGATATTGATAATAATTGTATTTTTTTCCCCTGAGATCGTCACAATTATAGTACCAGCTAGAAGGCAGTAGTCTTTAGTGTTCGGTCTTTTGATGCAGTTGTTGAGCTTGGAGTCTGGTAACGTTAGACCTTGTGCCGTCCTGAGAAGGTAACCTAAGTGGAGAGAGGGGTTAACATGAAAATGTAGTTACTATTTTATTTTATTCAGGTGGTGGAAGGTTAATAGTGTGTCAGTGGCGTCACTAGGGTGTGGCTGTAGCTGAGGCTGTTGTCCCCCCACACATTCTGAACAATTTGCATTTTAGATTTGGCGTCACTCCTCTCCCTATTAATTTATTGTTTTAAATAGATAAAAAAATAATTTGACATTTTTTTGATATTGTGGTGACACTTTATAATGGTATCACCCAAGTGCTGGCTGCCCCCCCCCCCAACCCACACTGCCTTTTGACGCTAGTGTTGAGTGTTATGTCAACAGGCGCATGTATTATGGTGTGCTTCCATGATATTATAAGTAAAATATATTAAATGAATAAACGTTGAAATAAGAATGGTACAAATGGTACAACGGTGATCCTAAAGATGGCAAAATAACGGTTGAAATAATGTCCCAAAATCATGGCGAGAATATTGATCAAACGATGGCAGAAATTGCTCCGGTAGAAAGGTGCTGTTTTGGGTGCAAATGAAACAATTTGACATAAAACAAGAGGACATAAAACAAGAGTACACGAAACAGCTGGATAAATCACCGACGATACGAATAAAGATTTGAACATAGACACTTCCCTCTGACAAACAACCACAAACGGGTTACAAACCAAGACTGAATGAAAACAAAAGCTCGTTAAAACTAAAATAATTTAATAATATCTACACTATCTACACCTAACACAGTCTATTCTAAACACAAACTACACAAGCTAGTAAAACTACGATACAGTGGTTAAAACTAGTATAGACCTAACCTATACTAACCTTGGAGATCTGGACGAAACTGAGGCCTTCACACACGTTATCACACACCTTATATACCCTTACAGAAAACAGGTACCAACCGGACTATCACAACTCACAGCACCAGAACTGAACAGAGACAAACGGAATAGAGTAACAGGTACAACAACATTTACACCCTTCACTCGTTCACTACACACCACGTCAAACAAACAAACAAACGACGTACCTCCATTTCTCAGGGTATAAGCCTGAGAGGTAGAGGACCCATAAATCTGGGAGGCGTCAATGAAGGAGGTGATCACGTTCAGCTGTTGTCTGATCTCTGAAGAGTTATGTTGTGTGACATATAACAAAGTTATGCTTGTTTGTTACTGTTAGTTAACGCTTTGTATACATAATACGTGATTAAAATACTTCAAAGCCAGAATACCATTACATTATGCAGAATGCGTAAATCTAACTTTAACGAAGTGTGAATTAAATTGTGATAATATAACTAGGTCTAGAATTTATAGCAATGCAAAGCAGAACTTATGCTTAGGTAAATGGGCTAAAAAGCAAAATATAAGACAAATAATATAGTTTCCTAAAATCAATTTATAATAAAAAACATAAAGGTAAAAGCTAAATTTTTGTAAATGTACAAAACCATAAAAACGAGGTGTCTCTTTGACTTTAATTCATTCACTGTAACTATGACTCACTTTACTTGGTAACAAATACATATTTTAAAAAATTTAACATGTTATTAATAATTAAAAAATAAAAAAATAAAGTACCCCTTTCGAACCCAACAGTCAATGAAGGTAGGTGAAGTAGAGTTCACCTGTTTCGGTGACCTTAGCTAATGAAAAATATTCCCTAACATGAGGCATGTACACATTAGAGCTGGGTGGACTCAGGGACGTCCTACGGCCTTGATGCCGGGATCCGAACGCGAGACATTCGTGTTAGCGGTCGTACTGTCTACTACTCGACCACCCATTTTAGTATACACCTTTAAAAAAATGGCCCTACTTCGAGCACCCATTTTAGTATACACCTTTAAAAAAATGGTCCTACTTCGACCACCCATTTTAGTATACACCTTTAAGAAAATGGCCCTACTTCGACCACCCATTTTAGTATACACCTTTAAAAAAATGGCCCTACTTCGACCACCCATTTTAGTATACACCTTTAAAAAAATGGCCCTACTTCGAGCACCCATTTTAGTATACACCTTTAAAAAAATGGTCCTACTTCGACCACCCATTTTAGTATACACCTTTAAGAAAATGGCCCTACTTCGACCACCCATTTTAGTATACACCTTTAAACAAGTTAATTAAAAAAGTCTAGTGACATTTGTGCGCAATTTCCTTATGTTATCTAAAAATAGCTCTGACGTATAATGTTGGGGTGCGTTCAAGCTAGAAGAACAATCGGTTTGTAGGTGTTTATGTAATTTTAAAATTTGTGACCGAACGAGAGAATATTTTTGAAAACTTTCTTCGGCAATATTGTTCTAAATTATGACAGGAATCGATTGGTACATGTTTCAAGTCGCTAAGTGGTCTGGTTGCCGAGATATGGGCCAAAAACTGCTTTTTTTCGAGATTTTTTTGGCTTTTCTGGGAAATCCATGAAAGAAACCCGGAATTTTTATGGCCTATGTTCATCCTCGTAACTTGCTTAACATAATTGCTTTTGGAACTAGTCATCGATATTGCTTCGTTGAGGAGGAGATACGACTTAAAGCTGCGGACACACATTCATCCATCCATCCATCCATCCAGAAATGACGGGTTAATAAACGCAATTCTCCAGAATGGAAATTGCGCTAAAAATGGCCCTACTTCGACCACCCATTTTAGTATACACCTTTAAAAAAATTTCCCTACTGCTCTTGGCTCCTTGGCCCCTCGTGGCAGCGATGGAGCGGACAAATTCCATACATCGACCTCTGATGTAAGTCTCAGTGTCCGGCAGCTCAATCGGGAAACAGTGTCTGCAAGAACAGACGTAGGTTACAATGTAGACAGATGTAGGTTTCAATGTAAGGAGACGTAGTTTTGAATGTAGGCAGATGTAGGTTTTGATGTAGGCAGACGTAGGTTTCAGTGTAAGGAGACGTAGGTTTGAATGTAGACGTAGTTTCATTATGTAGAAAGACGTGGGTTTCATTATGTAGACAGATGTAGGTTTCATTATGTAGACAGATGTAGGTTTCATTATGTAGACAGATGTAGGTTTCATTATGTAGACAGACGTAGGTTTCATTATGTAGACAGATGTAGGTTTCATTATGTAGACAGACGTAGGTTTCATTATGTGGACAGATGTATGTTTTATTATGTAGACAGATGTAGGTTTCATTATGTAGACAGATGTAGGATTCATTATGTAGAAACAACACCACAATAACATATACCGTCTCTAAGCGTAAATATAGTTGTTTTTTATACATATAAATCTGTGACACGACGTTCAAGGTTGATCAAACTTAGTTTACAATAGAAAAAATCAATGTTAAAACATATCCTTATGACTATGACATATTTGGACTGAATATTTTGAGGATCATATATTTTATTAGACAGCTGACGAGCATTTCAAAACACTCGCGGTATGATATTGATTAGATCTACTTTGTTTTGTTAACGGGGTTTCTTTTAGACATTTTTTTTCGGGGGGGGGGGTAGAGAAACAATGAAACAGGAAGAGAATGAGAGAGAGAATGAGAGAGAACGATAGAGAGGGAAAGAGCGATAGAGTAGAAGGAACCGACGGTGACAAAAGTCTAATTAGTATGTTTTTTTTTTTAAAGCAATGTTTTTCTTGTTGTAATTTGATTAGTAATAAAACAGATAGTGTTAGTTATCTCACAAGTTAAAGACAGTTACAAATACTATGGACGTTGCGACCCAAAGGTCTTCGTCAGCACACAACAGTGTGGTTACAGATTAGACAGAAAAGACAAACAGTAACATAAGTTTGGACTTAACTCGACATTGATAACACGTCTTGTGTAAATGCCACGATATCCAAAAGTTGGGTATCTTTCACCTAACCAACTCCCCCCCTTCCCCATACACCACGCCCCCAATCCACCCTATACGGTGTCCAAGCGTCCTTTTTCACGCGTCTTTTCTTTTGGATATCGTGGTTTTTAGACTAGACGTGTTTTCAAGTTTTATTTCTAATTGAATTAACCCCACTGCAGCTACCATTTATATTTATCTTTTGTTGTAATTTGACATTAAAACGTTGCATTTATTTCTTCAAATTAATAGCCTTTTCAGAATGACTCCGTAGTTATTGTTTCCCGGAGGGGAGGGGGCGGAGGGTAAGCAGTTAAATAAACAGTCGAGCATTAGAGCCAGGTATCCGTATAGCCCATTCGAAGGATTACCGATATATTCATTTATTCAATTCATTTATTCAATTACGGTAACAATAATAGGCACGGAGGCCTTTTTTCACATTTGCCGTTTTAAAATAAACAAATAAAACAACAATTTAATAACAGCATTTAAAAAAAGCAATTGCGTAGTAACGATATAGCAATAACAAAGCACTAAAAATGTGGAATAAAGAAATAATCTTACATAGTTATATAGGCATTCTATACACAACCCCTATTCCAGTTACCTGTTGGTTATAAACGGTGGGTTTTTTCCATCTTCACCACAGCAGTGAATTGGGCCCTCAAATTCTGGACAACGAGAAACAATAAAAATATTCTCAGTATGATATCAATTTTCTAGTGATTTGAAAATCGTAAATTTAACCTAATCTTAATTCTAATACGCAGCCTAGTCTTCTACAGTAAACGTAAAAAAAAGTAAAGTTCCCCTTTCAAACCTGACGGTCTATAGGGCAAGTGAGTGAACTTTACTTCACAGGTTTCTGTGACCTTGGCATATGAAGAGATAATGTGGTCAGCACTATGCCCAGCCGCCTTTACCTTTCCTAATGTAAGTTAGCATCAGAGTTGGGTGGATTCAGGGACGGTCTACTGACTTGAACCCAGATTCCAACTCGAGACTTACGGGTTAGCAGTCCAGCTCTCTACCGCTAGACCACTCCGTCCCATTTCTACAGTAAAGAACACATTTAAATTACAGATGTGCTAAATAATATGCCTGAAAATGATATTTGGTCTTTCGAAAGGGGGGGGGGGGGTAGTGGTGGGTGTCTCCCTGAAATAAACACGTTCCAATGATGAAGAAGGCAAATAAAAAAAATAAAGAAAAGTACTAACGCGTTGCTATGGGAACAGCCGACAGGTCATGCGTGACCCACTGACCCCACTGCATTAGCATAACCGTAAAATTTGTCATCTCCGACTCTGAGGGGTGGGCGACGAGGCTGACCAGTCTGGCACTGGGCAGTGGACGACCTTCAACCCCGTACATACGCGGACTCCCAATTCCTGGACATAAACAAAAGGAAGTCTCCAGTCTCAGAAGTTCAAAATTGCACCGGTAGTCATATTTTGCTAATTATTTATTACAGAGGTAGCGTTTTTTAGATCATTGATTGGATGAGGGTCTAATGGTAGGAGTGTGCATAGTATAGTGATTTTAGCAAACGAGTGGTCAGATTTAACCTTTAGGCGTACCTAGGAGAGGGCGGATGGGGCGGCCGCCCTGGGTACTGACCTTAGGATGAGGGTGGGGGGTATCAGACGGGGTAGAAAAAAATATGTAGAAAGCTCATTCTGAGTTTCTTTATCAAACTATACACAGTCAAAGGTAAGAAAGTAGACTACTGTACAGCTCTACATACAGATTCAACTGTTTCTTACTTCAATTTTGCGACACCAAACTACAAATTATAAGAAACATAGCAGTAACATGAAAAAAAGCGGGGGGGGGGGTGCATTTAGGCTTACTTGAACAACAATATGGGTCGCATGCGCCTCTGAGCTTTACGTACGTATACTCCAATAGCTTCAGTTTTAGCTATAGCCACCTTGCCGATACATTCCTACCCTCACAAATCCAACTTTTCAGCTGACCCCCTCTCCCCCCTCCCCTACCCCACAAACTCACCATCAGCGTACTCCGGCTCCAATAGGGTGGGTACGGCTGTGAAAGCCGCCCCATAATTCTTGTAGTTGTTGCAGCTCCCGTCATACGTTCTGTACTTGTAGCTTGTGACGTTGTAACACAGCTGTAGGGTATATCACAAACACGACATTTACAATACCAAAACTATAAATTATATCACAAACACGACATTTACAGTATAAAAGCTATAGATTATATCACAAACACGACATTTACAATACTAAAGCTATAGATTATATCACAAAGACGACATTTGCAATACCAAAGCTATAGATTATATTAGAAACACGACATTTACAATACTAAGGCTATAGATTATATCATAAACACGACATTTACAATAACAAAGCTATAGATTATATCACAAAGACGACATTTTCAATACCAAAGCTATAGCTTATATCACAAACACGACATTTATATGTGACGATGTACTATAGCTGTAGGATAGGCCTATATCACAAACACGACATTTACAATACCAACGCTATAGATTATATATTACAAACATGACATTTACAATACCGAAGATATAGATTATATCACAAACACGACATTTACAATACTAAAGCTGCACAAGATGAAATCATGGGTGGGGGGAAACCCAGAAGTAACAAAACATTTGGAATTTTTACAAATCAATTCCAACTTTTACTGTATTTTTTTTCAAAATCTACTAAACGAAAAAAAAATCATTTTTTTTTACTAAAAGATACCTATGAAAATTATAAAGCTTGTGGCGTTATAACAATGCTACAGATTATGTCACAAACATGACAGTTACAATACTTAATATGTGCAAGTAGGAATAAAAAAAAAACGGAAGTAGCAAATCATTGGGAGTATGTACAAATCAATTCCATTTTTTACTGTTTTTTTTTTTAATCTACAAAGCACCAAACATTTGAATTTTTTTTTACTTAAAGACACTGTGTAAATTTTAAAGTCGCATATAATTTTGCATTTTGAAACTTTACTTACCATATTAAAAATAATTAATTAGTTAAATATCTCTTACTCTTTGAGTTCTATGAGCCTCGTGACCAAAGTGTTGACCATGGCAACGTAAACTTCCGGTCGACATAGCGGCTTGCGTGGAGGAGAGCGCAAAATATCCGACTGTGTCTGCGTGGTCGTCTGCCGGTTATAAAACACGTGCTTACTTTTTATTTTACAGATGCGAAATATGTAAGACACTCAACGATTATATTTTGCTAATTGTAGATTTAAATCATAATTATAAATTATGTTTGTTAATACACTTAATCAAGATAGAACCATTGGCGCTAGAGTTTCTTCAAGGCATCTCCCCCGAATGTAATGGAATTTATATAGAAAATATATACTTTTAACAGTGACCGCCCCCTCCCCGGAAATTTTAGTCCGCCCCCACCCACCGACAATTTCAAATGTCCCCCCCGGTGAAAAAAGTCTGGAAGAAACACTGATTAGCGCTAGTCTAAACTCATTTCTAATCAACCATGATATTTACAGGAATTTATATTTTTTTCTTTTCCAATAAAACACTTACATGAAAACAAAACAGAGCTAATTTTATGATTACAGTTTTGATTGAGCAGTTTTATTCTGTAAATTCTTTTACAAACTTATTGGTATTCCTTTGTCAATATATTTTCAACACTTAGAAATCTGTCCTTTTAAAATAATATTTAACATATTTTATCTATGTTGCCTATAGAATATTAATTACAATTAAGCAAAGAAGTTAAAATACGATCTTTTTTTTTTCAAATAAATAACTTGGCGAAAGAATAACAATATCCGCTACACCAAAACTTAAATTTATTCTTAAAAGTGATTGTTTCATATTAAAAAAAAATATATCCAGATTTTTTAATTCTATGTAGATTTTGATCAATAGTTAATTAAAATACGTACCTGAGCTAATTGTTAGTTCCAGAGTTAAAGTGAATACAAGGACGAATTTAGTGAACATTTTATAAACTAAAACACCACAAAACCTCCGACACATTGTTTTAAGGATTCTCCTACTTCTCACTGTTCCACACTCGAGATGTTTTCTTTCCTAAACCACAAGCCCGACTGGGTTTATTGTATTTTCGTTTAAATATTACAAGTAAAACATATCTCTCTTTATGTTTGAGTAATTAAAGTCACAACGGGGGTATAAAAAGTAGACTGAAAAAGAGAGGGGAAGGGGGGAAAGGGGCAACCTCAGAGCAACACGCTCACAAAAAAACTATAAAAACAATGGGTGGGGAATCCGATATGTTAATTAACATTTAATTTGCTAAAATCCGCTCGTAAAAATCGAGTTCCTAATACGACGTGTGAAAAAATATTCGCCCTTTCTCCAACCCCCATCCCCCCTTTGTTTATTATGTAATGTTTTTTTTTTTTTTTTTTTTTTTTTTTTTTTTTTTTTTTTTTTAGCTCAGACCACTCTTTGCTGATTTGTCATTTATTGTTGTCGGATTATAGCCCTTGTCCGAAAGCAAAGGTTAGTTTGATTAGAGTTAAAATCGGAGAATGAACTTTGATGGAATACAGCACTTTATTGACAGTTTGTCTCGTCGATATCAATGTAATATATATATATATATATATATATATATATATATATATATATATATATATATATATATATATATATATATATATTGGTTTCTGACCTCACCAAGATGCGTGTAGTTTTGTTCTTCAAATTCATTTTTCTCTTTCTAAATCATCTATGCACTTGTCTCAGCGCTTCCCCACGTCTCCAAACCGTCTTACTCAACAGTGCCAAGTTCTGCAGGGAGAGATTAACCCTAACTGCATGTAGGTCGAGAGAGCGAGAATCTTAAACCTGCCTGTATTTATACCTACGTCATATCCCCTTGCTATTCCCACTGGACAATGATTCCAATCCAAAACTTGTGAGCTGACCAATTATTTCCCCATGGCGTCAACAGCCCTAGCCACTGGCCATCATAATGGCTGCTATTGTCTTGTCTAAGTTGTCTATCTCGTTGAACCGTTCATCGATTAGTCCATCCCTGTTGTTTACCCTGTAAATATATCTAATGAATATCTACTAAGTTTCCCCAAATTACATTTGAAATGTCGCACCATTAACCACATATGATCAACGTCTGACGTTTAAGAGTACAACAAAATAAGGCCGAAGTCTTTATCTGGAAACGTAAAAAAGTAAGTAAAGTTCCCTTTTAAATCCTAACGATCCATGGGACAACTAAAGTAGAGTTGTCCTCAAGGGATAGTGTTGTCAGCATTATGCCCAACTTGAGTTAGGTACCCACCAGAACCAGAGGCGTAACGACCCTTCCCGGCGCCCGGGGACAAACTTTCAATTTGCCCCCCCCCCTCGGGAACAACCTTTCAATTTTCAATTTGCAACCCCGTCCCCCGTCAAAATTTCAATTTGCACCCCCACATATATTATTTATATTTATAAAGCAAAACTGCAGCTAAAATAAGAATTTAAATTGTTTTTACAACCCATTTTGGCGCCTCCTAAGGTCGGCGCCCGGGGACATATGTACCCCCGTAGCGGGAGGATATTGAGGTAAACACGAAGCTAACAGCGCACGATGAAATCATTAGCATTGCTAATCAGTGAATAAATTAAAGCAATCAATTTACTTTTTAATTTATTCGTATTTTTTCCAGTGCTGTATTTGTCAGCCACGGCCAGGAAAATGAAATTGAAGACTGTTTTTACGTTGGGGTTGATGGTTTTCGTGTTGACGTGAATTAGTCTCAACGGCCGGGGGGAGACGAAGTGGTCTTAGCATTGAAGTCATAAGTTAAGACTACCTTTATCAATACACTATAGACTTGTTTTTTTTTAAAATAAATTTTTTGATGGCAAAAATAGAACATTTAAAAAAAATAATACAGCGTGTCTATTCATGTAATTGGAAAGTATTTTTAACTCGGGATCTTCGGAATTGTTTTAAATTACAGTGTATTTAAATGCAAGTGGAAGTTGTTGCTGTAGGATGTGTGGATGGATAGGATGGGGTGGTGATTTCAAGATGATTTGATTGACCTGAAAAATAAAAATATTTTTTCGCTCTACGAAGAACTTACGTTGATTAATACTTGGATGATGATATCCATGAATTTGTATATAAACCATTCAGGAAGGGGCTTGGGGGGGGGGGGGGGGGGGGTCAAGGTTATTTCAAGGTTTTCTATACAACACATCTTAGGGCATCTAGGTGGTATTGTGGGCAAACCCGCACATCAACAACCCAATACCCGAAATTCTGCACATCAAAAACTAAGATTTAATAGAATTGTAGGGACGACACAGTGTTTTAAGCTCCCATTGCTGAGGTAATTTGCTCGGAAATAATGTTTAGATTGAGTATCCAAATAGTTAGCATAACGTTTTTAGCTATAACGTCATAATTTCTTCCAGGCATTTGTTCGGGGGGGGGGGGAGGAGGGTCATAGTCTACCCCCAACTCCCCGAACGAAATATATTTTCCGCCCCCACCCCCGGAAATGTTTGTCTGCCGCCCTCCTCCCCCCCCCCCCAAATGTCAAGTCCCCCCACCCCCACTCCTCTGAACCCGAAGGAAGAAGTCTGGAAGAAACACTGAATGAAGCTCATTTAGTTTCCAAAGCAAGTTCCACATAGATAGTGTTTAATTAACCTACACGTATGCAGTTGGCATAACGCGTCACTATAAGGTCCATACTATTTCGAATAAGGAATCTTCCTATTTACCTTGCAGTGCGCTATTATTTATGATTTTGTTGTCTAATGCATCTAGCATTCCTTAGTAAAAAATTCAATGCCAAAACTGCTATGCCAAATGCCAGAAAACGAGAGCTTGCGCCTAAAAACACACCATGGGTAACGACTTTCTTCATGGTTCTTTTTTACTTCTGAGACCACGACGGGTAAGCTGGTCGGGAACATAGTTTCTTTTAGGCATCTTTCCGGAGGGAGGGGGGGGGGTCACATCAACGCACCCAGCCCCCCCCCTTTACCGCACAGACGAAATTTTTAAAGTATACAATTATTCGCCCCTTCATATAATTTTAAATTGCCCCCCCCCCCCCCCCCACAAAATATTGTAGCTTTCAAGTACAACACCAGAAGAAAGTTTCTTAAAGAAATCCTTGTCAGCAAATTAAAAAAAAACAACTCACAATCAGCGTCTATTTAAAAAATAGGGACGTGTTTTTAAACCAAACAAACCTCAATCATATTGATTTAAGTTTAAATCAGCCCATTCAAATAATAACAATCGATTAGACACAAATGGCGTTACACTTGTAACGGGACCATCTTAACGTAAAAATGTTAATCCCACTCTCCTCTTGACCGTGTGGCTGGGTACAAATCGCGTGGGTTTTATGACGTTCTTCGCATATTTTATGACGTTTTACACACACGCCTAACTCTTCATTCGAATGTTAATTGGTTGCCTAGACACTCATGTAAATTTAACCCACAGCTTTTGTGCTCATGCACTCAGCTATGACCCTTAAATTATACACACACACACACATATATATATATATATATATATATATATATATATATATATATATATATATATATATATATATATATATATATATATATATATATATATATATATATATATATATATATATATGAGTGTGTAGGCCTACATAGGTCTATAATTTAAATATATGCCGCATACGCGTAATAGTAAAAATGTTTATGTATAACCTATTAATAATACAGTTGTATGTAGCATTGTTTTCTCTATAGTTAGCACGTTTACGTTATGGTGTCACCCCCACCCTCTTGTAATAATTGTTGGTTTGTACTAAAAAGACTATTTTAATTAATCATTAATGAACTGGCAAAAAGGCATTTTTCTTCTTTACATTGTGCAATTTTTTGTATTGCTTTCACCTCATTAAATGGTGTCACCCGGTGCGGTCCGCACCCCCCGCCCCGCCCTCGCTTCGTCTATGACTACATCCACACCAACGACTGCTGGGTCCGTTAATTGTATTAGCGTATATTTATTGTCATTTAAAATTCTTTCTCTTTATCTTGCGAACAGTTATATTCCATACAAGGCAAACCCCCCCCCCCCCCCGGCCGCACTAAAAAACTTTTTATGTCATTTGAATCCACAATCAACAATCCACAATTACTGTCTGTAATTTATTCTGTAAACTTCTTTAAACCTAACACCTTGTATATTTTCTGTTATATTGACTTCTTTGCACTGAGACCATGTAAGTTGCCTGCTATTTTGACTCCTTTACACAAAAATCAAGTAAGTTCCTTACAATGTTGGCAGCTTTACATAACGATGTATTGGATAAATAAAGACCGTGTAAGTTTCCTGGTATATAGACACCTTTACACTAAGCCCATGCAAGTTCCTTATTATGTAAGTCCATATATACTAAGCCCATGCAAGCTGCTTATAATGTAAGCATCTTTACACTAAGCCCATGCACGTTCCTTATAATGTAAGCTCATTTACACTAAGCCCATGCATGTTCCTTATAATTTAAGCATCTTTACTCTAAGCCCATGCAAGTTCCTTATAATGTAAGCATATTTACACTGAGAACCTCTTTGTCCCCATCTATGTAGACTACTTTACACTAACACTCGATGTTCACTCGTTGCTATTTACACCCATTTACTCAGTACACTGTATACACTCCCGTCACCCCCCCCCCCCCCAAACAACACATACATGGCCCATGGCCCTGTAATAGACACCCCGTTTTGTATTGACTTACCTGCCTGAGTGACATGCGACCGCTGACGGTACTCACATTGTACCAGGCTCGATCAACCACCTTTGTTGACGTTTATTGAATCTCAGTGAATAAACATCCCATGGTCGATATCAAGAAAAGGGGAGATGATGATAAAGGGAGAGCATTTGACATGTACAAGGGGAGTGAATATAGAGCAATAATTTATTGTTTTGTCTTTTAGTTTTTTCTGTTGGTGAAAAAAAAAATCATGTCGATTGCAAATAATGAAAACATAAATAATGATTTTGCATTCATTGTCACGTACAATGTTTTTTTACATCGTTATTAACATCAACATTTCAAAAAGTTATGAGTAGCGTGTTAAGACATATATAATTTTCTTGTCATTTGTACGTTTCAAATCAAAATACAGGTATCTTAAGCTATGCAAGAAACATAAAAAATAATTTGAAAAAATTACTTTCTTGTATAATTACCCTCTCAACCCATAACGCCGATGTAGAAAAAATCCATTGAATCACCATTTAAATACACATTTGCATTTTCCGGTTTTTAAAATAAATTTTTAACTAGACGTTTTGCGTAAGATCTATGTATAAGTAAACCATCTTAAATGAATGAAAGTAGGCTACAAGTAAGAAAGAAGTATTACTATTTTAAATCTGTATCAGTCCTCACAAGCAGATGATGAAAACTAATTCTAAAGCGAACATGCAAGGCAAACTGACGCTGTAAATTAGAAGTCTGAGGCGAAAAAAAAGGAAAAGAATTTTTTAATGTATATATCTAGTCTACATAGATCTCAAATAAAAAAAAAAAAAAAAAAAAAAAAAAAAAAAAAAAAAAAAAAAAACATGCATAATATGTGTATAAGTCATTCGAGTGAAATAAGTATCAAACCGGGAGTGATCTCCCCTAAACTTTCTCGAATATTCATATCTATATATATAATTCTCTTCTGGGATCAGTTAGAAAACAAACTGCAAGCGCCTCCTTGCAGTCTCCTCTCTTTCTCTCTATCACTATCACTACCACCCCCACCCCACCCCACCCCCACATTGTCTGGCGTGAGCTGTGGTCACGCTAAATGTTTACAAAGATAAATGTTTACAAATCGTAGAGCCGTAGAGTCGGGTTTCTATTAGGGGCAGATAATTTAGTTCGATTTTAAACTTACAGGAGGTAACTAAGAATTAACTAAGAGGAGGCTGCTTTCACGGGGGGGGGGGAGGGAGGGAGGGGGGGGTGTGTAGGGAGGGAGGGGGGGTGTGTAGGGTCGGGGTTAGGGGAAAGGGGGGGGGGGTTAGTGTTTTAAAGCAAATATTTTCAGTGGCAGCTTGGGACTTTCGAATTCACAAATTATGAATTACTGAAAAGTAGAAAATAAAACAACTAATTAGCGGCGTATAATACGCTGCGGGTCGGCTCGTATAAAATAACAGGGGATGGGAACTCGGGCTTTAGACATGATTTTTAATCCATTTTAAATACTTAAAAATTTAAAAAATAGGTTAAAATCTCGTAGACAAATTAATTGCACACCAAGTGAACGCCAAATAAAAAAGCGCATAATAGTGCGCAATATTATTAGTACTTTTAAAATTTACAATAGTTTTTTGAGAAATCGGAAGTAGCGTAAATGACTACTTCCGGTCAACGGAAATTACTCAAAATTTAACAGAAGGTAGAGAAATAGATCTTTTACTTACATGTGAAATTTCATTTATCTATCTGAAATAGTACTCAAGTTATAGGCTTTTGAAAAATTCAAAGTAGGAAAAGTACCACTTCCGGTTATCGGAAATCGCTCAAAAGTTGATACGGATCTACGATTTTGATAAAATACTTATATATGAAATTTCATCAACCTAGCTGTAACGGTACTCAAGTAATCGTGTTTTCACACGGACACACACACAGACAGACAGACACACAGACATACGGACAAGATTGCAAAATTATGTTTTTCCGTATCAGTGAGGTGTAAAACGTCGAGATTTGTAAAAATCTCGATTTTTTTTTGCACGATTACAAGACTTTCTCTATACTTCGTATATACGAGAAAGTAAAAAAAAACATGAATTTAAAAAAATTGTGCATTTACCAATACCATCGTGATAGTAGTGGCTGTGGTCGAACGTATTTGTGATAGAGTATTTTGACTGTAACTTACATTACAGGCAGAAACGACACCGACTTTCTATCTAGCTGTAGTATCTCTCTCTCTCTCTCTCTCTCTCTCTATATATATATATATATATATATATATATATATATATATATATATATATATAATGAAAATGTGTACAAAATTATGTTTTTAGTATTATCCAGCTCATCCAGTTGCCGTCCTTTAATATGTTTACTGTTAACATAGTCGTCCATTGATTGTTTCAGTCTTTACTTAGTTCCAGATGATCATTATTATGCGGTGCTATGTGGTCAGCCTTGTAGCATGAAAGTGCTCCGTTTACACGTTTTCATTTCGCACGTTGACTCGCATTATGTAAAATCAATTCAATGTCAATCCACATTAAAAAACAACAACAACATAATATATCAGAGGGATAGCGTGGTTGGCTGGTAGCTCCTACGACATATAACCCGAAAGTCTCGAGTTCGAATCACGAGCACTGGTCTGTAGAACGTCACAGTCAACTGATCTCTCACGTTATGGTGTGTATAGGTGCATAGGCCAAATGCTGACTACACCATACATTAATATACGGTGATTTACAGTAACACCAAAAAACCTGAAATTTATATGTTAACTCTACTTCACATGACGAATGAAAGATAAAGTTCAACCTTTACTTGAAGCTGTAATACATTTTTTATTTTTCGATATCTTTTGAATCAAAATATGAGAGGTACAAAAAATAAGGAAAACGCAAAATACAATGAATATATTGTAACTGTTTTTAATTAGTCAAGAAGTAACATTGTATAAATGAAACATTACGCGCAAGTAAAAGGTAACAAGTAGAAATGTAGTAGCATCCAAATGGGTCCATGACACATACAATAAAATAGATAAGTACAACATCTAAATACTAAATATAGCAAAACACTTCATGTCGACGTATTATGCGAACTGCGAATTTAATAACTCTTTTGATGCCAATGTTAAAGGACTTTCTATGGTCGAGGTATTATGCGAACAAGGCGAGATTTAACCCTTCTGAGACCAGAGTTTTGCATTCCACAGGTGCATTAGCTCTGCAGAAAAAAAGAAAAAAAAAAGATTTGTTAGAAGCTGCTGTAAATGTTTCTTTGATTAAAGATATGCTCATATTTATTTGTCGAAGTGTAAAAATATGTATCTAAACCTTTCTCATAACGTGGAGTTGTTAAGCTTTAAAAATATCGGAAAGGTACTTTTAAAAATGTATTTTAATTTAATTTTAGCTATCAGAAAGAGAGAGAGAGAGAGAGAGAGAGAGAGAGAGAGAACAGAAAAAAGTAATGATAAGTTTGTAGTTAACTAGCCATCTGAGTTCTATACCAATCAGAGGCGCAGCGACCCTTCCCGGCGCTCGGGGACAAACTTTCGATTTGCACACCCCCTTCGAACTTTTCATTTGCACCCCATCAAAGTTTCAATTTGGCGCCCCCCCCCCCCCTAAGGTCGGCGCCCGGGTACATTTGTCGTCCCCCCCCGCCCAACCCCCTCGCTACGCCTCTGATACCAATGCTGCACCATCCACGCAAAAAAACGCGTAGCTTGAACTACTAAACACTATCTTTGTGGAATTTACTTTGGGAACTAAACAAGCGTTTATATCTAAAAACTTAATGCTAACTATTTGATACAAAGTTAATCTAAACATTTCCCATGAATTTACCTTAGCAATGGGGACTTAAAATATTTCTTAGAAGAACTTACTTTTGTAATGGTAACTAAACTTAAAATTGTCTTTAAGGATTTTACTTTAGCGTTGGGAACTTCCAGCTACATATTTTCTTTGTTGAAATTACCATTGTGCTAAGAACTATAAACTAAACATTATCTTTAAGGGATTTATTTTTATTATGGAAATTTTAGCTAACCATTATCTTTATTGAACTTACCATAGTGCCAAAACTAGAAGCTAAACATTATCTTTTAGGAACTTGCTTTTGTTTTTGGGAATATTAAGCTAAACATTATCTTTAAGGCACCAACCATTGTGTCAATAACTATAAGCAAAACATTATCTTTGTAGATGATGTAAAGCTGAACATTATCTTTAAAGAACTTACCATTGTGTCAATAACTATAAGCAAAACATTATCTTTGTTGATGATGTAAAGCTAAACATTATCTTTTAGGAACTTACTTTGTGTTGGGATTTTCAAACTAAATATTATCTTTGTAGAACTTACCACTGTGCCAAGAACCATAAGCTAACTATTATCTTTAAGGAACTTACTTTTGTGTTGGGAACTTGAAGACGTCGGGTTGAATGAAGGGGATGTTGGTATTGGCACATATGATGTGGGCTAATGATGTGTTTCGTAGAGATTTCAGTTGATCTACAAATACATTAATCGATGAGATACAAGATTTTATAAATTTCTCTATTTCATTATTTTAATTTTATACCCTGGCTTACTATGTTTTTAAAAACAAGCAGTGCTTCTCAATTATTTTTTTAGATTCAAAATAACCATTCATAATTAAGAAAAACTTAAAAATGTAATAAATTAACATTGATATGAATAGGTTAATTAAGTGGTTTTATAAATTACCGTGCCATTACTAGATAATGCTTTTATTTCTTATTTATGAAATTTAATATGTAAAATACATGTTAAAAAAATTGTTTCATCAATATCTGCTGTGTGTGTTTTACATGTTTTACTCACCATTTGTGAAGGCTATCGCCGTCTCGTCGGTGTCAAAGAAGAAACGGTCGCCATATTTGAGGTTGTAGAACTGGGTTCCCAGGATGCAGCTCAAGGTGGGGCCGACAATCGCGTTTGTTCCTTCCTCCACGGGTTCATGTACCAGCCCCGTAAAGAGGTCAATGTCATCCACAGATCTGAAGGTCAATAGTTCAAAAAGGTTAGAACAGATAAGCACAAGAAGTGGACATTGCCTGAACACAGTCACAAGGTTAATTAGAAAAGTAAGTAGTAAGAAAAGTTTCCCTTTCAAACCTGACGGTCTATGGGGCAAGTGAAGTAGAGTTCACTTGTTTCTGTGACCTAGGCATATGAAGAGATAGCGTGGTCAGCAATATGCCCAGCCGCCTTTACTTTCCCTAACGTGAGTTAGGTACCCATCAGAGTTGGGTGGACTCAGGGACGGTCTACTGACTTTAACCCGGATTCGAACTCGAGACTTACGGGTTAACAGTTCAGCTCTCTACAGCTAGACCACTCCGTCCCATTAATTAGATAATCTGATTAATAATTTTGAAAAATGGTAGACTCATTAAATAAATAATTATTTCAAGGGACATAATTAACGACAGGTTGACTAGTCCTTCAAGTGTGTTGATTCAATATTTCTTTTATTTCGTTACTAATCAGCAGCTAACTAATTACTGGACCTGTCAAAGGGTCGGGGGAGTTTGAGTGGTTAACTTAGGTTAGTGCAATTTGTTAGGTCATTGAACTTGAGAGTAGGACTAGAGCTCCGACCCTCGGAAAAAATTCATACGGAAAAAAAAACAAATAAATTGAGGAATTTGGATAATTAAATTTTTTTGATCATGTACATACCTACTTATAAAGTGCAGCAAGCTGAACCACCAAATCAATACCTATTTATAAAGTAAGGGGCGGAGTGGTCGGATGACTGACGGTTCGGATCCCGGCATCGAGACCGTAGGCTTCCCTGAGTTCACCCAGCTCTAAACAGTACCCGATTCACGTTAAATATACCTTTCATGGAAACATGTGAACTCTACTTCACCCGCCAGGTTGTATGGGTGACTCTACTTTTTTAAAAATAAAGTATAACGAACGGAGCAACCTAAGAACTATGAACATATATTACATCATTATATCATTATATTATATCATTACATCAGGTCCATGTTAGGAGCCACCGTATTTATACCTACTTATACAGTCTATCAGAGCATCGCTTGCAGCCACCGTATTTATACCTACTTATAAAGTACATCAGAGCCACCGTATTTATACCTACTTATAAAGTACATCAGAGCCACCGTATTTATACCTACTTATAAAGTACATCACAGCCACCGTATTTATACCTACTTATAAAGTACATCAGAGCCACCGTATTTATACCTACTTATAAAGTACATCAGAGCCACCGTATTTATACCTACTTATAAAGTACATCAGAGCCACCGTATTTATACCTACTTATAAAGTACATCAGAGCCACCGTATTTATACCTACTTATAAAGTACATCAGAGCCACCGTATTTATACCTACTTATAAAGTACATCAGAGCCACCGTATTTATACCTACTTATAAAGTACATCAGAGCCACCGTATTTATACCTACTTATAAAGTACATCACAGCCACCGTATTTATACCTACTTATAAAGTACATCACAGCCACCGTATTTATACCTACTTATAAAGTACATCAGAGCCACCGTATTTATACCTACTTATAAAGCACATCAGAGCCACCGTATTTATACCTACTTATAAAGTACATCAGAGCCACACAAGAAGCCACCGTATTTATAACTACTTATACACTCATTAATATACATCTATCAGCGGCACACAATGAGCCACCATATTTATACCTAATCATACAAACTATCAGAGCCACACTAGGAGCCACTTACTTATAAACCCGAGCCAACTGAGCCACGTTAGGGCCGAGAGCCTCCACGTCGTTGAACCCAGTCAGGGGTCGGAGCCCACACAGAGCCCTGTAGGCCGTATACGGTGGTATACCGTGGTCACGTGCACGCTGGATGTTCAAAGAGATCAGGTCAAGTCCCCTGCCCGGGGGTCCACTCAGGGGCTCGAACAGGTGGTTTGTGATTTCACCAACTGAAAACAACACAAACACATACCTTTATATTTATATAACATTGATTCTATTTTTAGCTACTTTTTAACTCTTTGTGGAGGAGCAGTCTAAAATTGTTTATTTAAAATTTTAAAAAGCTTTAAATACATTAATTTGAAAAAAGAAAAATGCTTGTGGTATTGTAAAATATCAAGTTTAATTGATTTTAAACATAAAAAACTAAATTTTGTAATTTATTTTGAAAATTAAACTAGGTATATTTTGTAATTTAATAAATTAAAAAAAAAGGAATAGCAAAATATAACAAACGAAATCTACTCCCCAAAGGTTGTTCTATAAAGTTTTCAATAACTCATTCAATGATTTTGCGGTATGACTACTCTTCTTCTTCTACTTCTTAATTTTTAGTGTTGGAAGGGCTCGAGCCTTATCTGCAAGAGGGTCTTAACTCGAGACTTTTTCGAATTTATCAACCATGAGCTTTTTGCAGAATCGACCACGCCTCCATCAGAATTAAGGATTACGTGTCAACTGGTTATGCGCAAATTTCAGCCTGCTTTTCTTTTTGAATTTGTTTCCATAGACTTTGTCCAACCAAGAACTAACTACAAGGCAGCAGTTGTTTAATTTTGGGGCTGTCTCTTCTAGAAGAGTGGCTGTCCCCAGCTAACGAGCCTCATCTGCCCGGGGGTTCAACCTCGAGACTTTTCGGTTTAGCAACCATGAGCTATATCGACTCGACAACTCCGACCACTATTGACTACTATAATTACATTAAAAAAAAATCTGCTCACCAAAGTTTCTGTCAATCTTCTGCGCATTCCTGAGACCAGGGGTTCCCATGCCAACGATTCCAACGATCACGTCTTCCAGGTTCTCAAGCACTTCCGCTGGTCTGTGGACACAGGTTGTGATTAAAGTTAAGGACCCGCATGTTTTTTTTTTAAAATTATTTAGTGTATAAAGATAACTTATACGCGACGATTCGATGCTGTTAACACGAGCGTGAGAGATGAGACATTGGGGGAATTCATTTTTGACACATTTTAAAAAAGTAAAATTTTACGAAAGGAGCACAGACAACACGTCCACATGAAAAATTCTTTACTAAAAAATTCAGTACTAAAAGGGGAGATAATACAATCACCACAACAAAACGTACCGTCATTCGTGGACGATTTAATACTAAAAGGGGAAGTAATTCAATATCAGTACCGATAACTCGATTAATTAATCGGAGAACTTAATTCGTGAATATTTCTGTACCTGTGACCTGAACTCGGGCTTTATATTAGGAGCAGATACTTGTATTTTAGAATTAGGAACGCCCGCTGCTAATCAGGAGTTAATTAATTACTTTTATTTATTTGTTGGTGTCGTCTTTTTGAAATGCGCACCCATTAAAAAGAATATATAACGTACCCATTATTTCAAAACTAATACATTTTTAAGTCATTCACATTCCTTTTATCAACAAAGTTATTTAGACAATAACGAGCGAGAAAAAAAAACAAAAAACAAGCGTATAAACTTAAAAACGAAATTAACAATTCATTTTTTTGGCGCAGAAAGACATAAGAAATTTTTTTTCTGGGTTTTTTCTTTAAGATATGATAGAAATGCGTTTGACACTTATGAAATTATAGCGACCACCATTTTACCTTTTTACGTTTTACGTTGTTACAAAGATGGCTTCTCCTTTTATCAGTGCTTTCACGAGAATTACAAGAATTTGAAGATTTTTAAAAAATTTAAACCACGAACAATGAACTTGGTAAATAGTTAATCAAGTTATTTTACCTATTGAATAGTTCTCTCAGAGGAACCCGACGGTTCCCTATGGGGAACACAGTGGGAATCAAAGAGTGTCCGAATCTCATTGCAGCTGTGGAGAACTCGTTGAGGATTCTGGGATCGACGCCATTGTTCCTGGTGGTCCTTCCGGTCTTGGAGGGAAGTTTGAGCTGGGCGGCCTGTTTGCCGAGGATGATGGGAAGCCATTCGTTGTAGGTGATGACCTGCTGCAGAGCTGGAGGATTAGAGGATTGGGGGATTGGGTGGTCAAGTGATTGGGTGATTGGGTGGTCAAGTGATTGGGTGAGTGGGTGGTTAAGTGATTAAGTGATCAGGTTGATGGGTGATTGGGTGATTGGGTGATTGGGTGATTGGGTGATTGGGTGGTTAAGTGATTGGGTGATTGGGTGGTCTAGTGATTGGGTGGTAAAGTGATTGGGTGATTGGATGGTCAAGTGATTGGATGGTTGGGTGGTCAAGTGATTGGGTGGAGAGGTGGTCAAATGATTGGATGAAGGGGTGGTCAAATGATTGGGTGATTGGGTGGTCAAGTGATTGGGTGATTGGGTGGTCAAGTGATTGGGGATCAGGTGGATGCGTGATTGGGTAGTAAAGTGGTTGGGTGATTGGGTGGTCAAGTGATTGCAGGATTAGGTGGTCAAGTGATTTGGTGATTGGGTGGTCAAGTGATTGTGTGATTGGGTGGTCAAGTGATTGGGTGATTGGGTGGTCAAGTGATAGGATTATTAAGTGGTCAAGTGATTGGAGGATTAGGTGGTCAAGTGATTGGGTAATTGAATGGGTGATTAAGTGATTGGTTGGTGGGTTTATGTTCAAATGGGTGAGAATATGATTAATTGTATGGATGATTGGTAATATATATGCCTAATGTTGAATACACAAAAAAAATTATTAAATACTTTTTATTGGGGCATACAATCCGTGTTTGGCGATGCACAAATGACCACGCAACTTACCGCCGATAATTTTTCTGGTCAGTTGGAAGATCTGCTCCTCGCTGTCCCTTGGCCTGAGCCTGGCCAATGTTCTGGCTATCCTGTTGTGTTCCCGCATCCAAAGGGTGTGGAGAGAGCCGAGGGCGGGATGCTCGTTCACACGTATATCACCTGAACATTGACAAGGTTGGAAGGGGTTAACATCAGGTAGAAAGTCCTGAATTTAAGCTCTTACTTTCAAAAAGTTTACTATTGTGTTTTATTGATTTACTGTAATTATTTAAAAAAAAACATTTCGCAGAAAGTTTGTATTTTTTAAGATTTAAAATAAATTGATTAATTCTTCAGAAATCTATCGTAAGCACAGTGATTAAATGATCATAAATTCTGATTATAAAATTCATGTACCAGTTAAGTCTCATTCGGGAAATTTATTACAAGTGTAATATAAAAAAAATAATGTACTAATAAAGCCTGATTTGGGAAAACGTGTAATAGTTAGGTCTTAGTAAAGAGATTACGTACAAGATAAGCCCGATTTGTCAAATCTTGTACTAGTAAAGTCGGATTAGGAAAATATTGTACTAGTTAAGGCTGAATTTTATATAAATAATGTATTATTTAAGTCTCATTAGGGAAAGTATTTACTAATTAAGTCTATTTGGGCAGTCAAGAGCTTAGGTCAGATTATAGCAATCAGGTACTAGTAAAGTCTGAATATAGAAATATTTTACTAGGTAAGTCTCATGAGGGAAATCATTTACTAGTAAACTCTATCTGGGTAATCATGTACTTAAGTCAGATGATGGGAATCAAGTACTAGTTAAGTCAGCAGTCTCCCCACCCACCTGCAAGAAAACAGTAGTCCCCTGTCCCTGGTCTAGTGATACAACCACCATCACTCTCCGGTAAGAACCCTCCGTTTTTCGTTTTCAGCAAATAACCTGCAAAATATTTATCAAGCACGCTCAAAAAATGATTTTAAAAAATATAAGCACAAGAGAATAATGTTGTTTTACTTTACAATTAAAATAGTAAATTAAAAAAGTATAAGAGAATTTTTTACTTTTGCCATCTCTGACTTTCGCTGCCACTTCCTCTGTAGATCCGTAAATTTGTGAAGCGTCAACAAAGGAGGTCAAGGAGTTGACTTGCTCTCTTGGGCCTGTACAGTATTTATTGCATTTTACATATATATATATATATATATATATATATATATATATATATATATATATATATATATATATATATATATATATATATAAATGTGGGTGTGACAGTCTTTCTCTCTGTGTGTGTGTGTGAGTATGCGCGTGTGTGGATGTGTGTGCGTGTGTTTGTAGATGTGTGTGTGTGTATGTGTGTTTGACGCGTGTGTGGATGTGTGTGCGTGTGTTTGTAGATGTGTGTGTGTGTATGTGTGTTTGTGTGTGTGAAGACCCCCCCCCCCAGCATTATGACGACTAAACACAAACTTACTGAGTTCACAACCGTCCCCACTGGCTGCTGGAATAGACCTGATGAACTCCATACAGCTGCCCACAAAGTTGTCCTCTTCTGGTGGCAGAACGATGGGAAAACAGTTCCTGGAGGAAAGTTTAAGGGTATTTAGTAAGGGCGTGGCTTCAGAGGTAGAGCACTAGACTGATAACCCGAAGGTCCCGAGTTAAATCCAGGTTCAAGTCGGTACAGAATCCCTGTCTATCAAGCTCTGAAGGGTACCTAACTCATGTTAGGGAGAGTAAAAACGGCTTGGCAAAGTGCTGACCACACCTTCCCTTTGTATGGCGAGGTCAAGAAAAATGTCAACTCTACTTTATCTCTTCAGTAGATCGCTATGTCTAAAGAGGAATCTTTACTTTTCTTTACTTTTGTTAAATTAACAGGACAACCATTTGTTTACACATCATTGCTTGATTTGGTACTTCAGAACTACAGCGGTTACATGGGGAATATCATTTTAAAAAGCGGTGAAAGACTTACTTGTCTAGAGGGGAGGAGATTCTAGTGCCATTAGCACCGCAGCACCTAATCAGTCTGTCACTTTCTGTAGAATATATTTACACAGGATTTACACAGGTTTTAAACAAATTTGTATACACGTTTTTAAAAGGTTTTTACACTTGATTATACAGGTTGTACACAGGTATATACAGGTTTTATATAGGTTTTTATAAAGGTTGTACAAGGGTTGTACAAAGGTTTTATACACATTTTATACTGGTTTTTAGCAGGCTTACGTAAGCATTAATACAGGATTTTACACATTTTTTACAAAAATGTTTGATTACGTAATTTAAATATAGCTTTGTTAGTATTACACTCTAAATATATATATATGTATGTATATATATATATATATATATATATATATATATATATATATATATATATATATATATATTTAAATATAGCTTTGTTAGTATTACACTCTAAATATATATATATATATATATATATAAATATATATATACATCTCGGATATTTCGAGTTGACTATGGTTGAGTTACAACGTTAATTTGGGACTAAAACACTAGAGACAAAATGGATTAATATACAGATTAAATTATTCAGACAAGAGTAGCCAATTCAGAAAAAAAAAATATTTTTCCACCTTTTATGTTTATAACACACGAATGTTTACTTTTTGATACATTAAACGTAGACACATATTAAAGAATTTTGTTTTTTTCAATGAATATTTCAACGATGTGCATCTAATAATTTCTTAGCTTCATCACATAAAATAAGAGTCAATCAATTTGAGTTATATTACAAGTCTAATCCCTGGATTACAAAGGTCAAATATTTTCACCTTTGACCTGCAGGGCACAAAATACTCACCAGTTGCAACTGGGAAACCTGTGACGTCATGGTCAAGCCACTGACCCCACTGCATGACCATGAGGGTCTTACTCAGCAGGTCTGTGACGTCAGGGTGGACAAGGCGACTGACCAGACGAGGGCTGGGCAGGGGCGTGCCATCAACACCAGACACGCGAGGGGCGCCAATGCCTGAAATACAATGTAGCGTTTTAGTCACTCGTCGTCGCAAACACACATTTAATAGAACTTCACACACACGTTTAATTCAACTTTTAACTATTTCAAGTTTACTATTGGAAAAAAAAATCTTTACTATAATTAAACAGTCATGTGTGCTAAAGGTTCGGCCAGTAAACATTTGGTCCATGATAATATTTTGGCCAATAACGTTATTACCCGTGCTAATATTTTGGTCTACAGCTCTGAGACCCAAGCTGATATTTTGGCCATTATTTATATGACCCAGACTAATAATTTGGCCAACAACCTCATGGCCCAGTCTAATATACGACAAACAGCTATATGTGTCAGGCTAATATTTTGGCCAACATCCCTATAATTTAAGTAAATATTTTGGCCAACATCCCTATAATCTAAGCAAATATTTTGGCCAAAATTATTATAAAACAAGAAACTATTCTGGCCTACATCCCTAAAAAACAGGAAAATATTTTAATCAACATCCCTATAAAACAGGAAAATATTTTGGCCAACATTCCTGCAACTCAGACTACCATTATGGCCAACATCCCTAAAAACAGGAAACTTATTTGGCCAACACCCTAGAAAACAGGAAATTATTTTGGTCAACATTCCTGTAAAACGTAAAAATATATTCGCCAACATCCATATAAAACAGAAAACTATTTTGACCAACATCCCTATTACCCAGACGCCTCTAGCTTGTTACTCACCGTCCTCATACTCTGAGTTGAGCATCCTGGACACAGGCTTGAAGGACGCACCCCAGTTTTTGGGGTGGTTGCAGCTCCCGTCTACTGTCCTGTACTCACGGAGAGCGACGTCAGTGCATAGCTGGCAGACGATTCGAATATTTACTAATTAGCTCTTTTTGTTTTAATTATACGTGTGATTGAGACATCGTACTAACCATTTGGTAGACAACAAAGAAAACCACATTTACACATGTAAACAATATATGACTCAGACAATGACCGTGTAGTGACAATTTTCGGACCATAAAATGACCACATAAGTTGACCATATTATATTGACCAAACGTTAACCATAGCCCACATATCGACCACATACGTTGATCATAGACCATATACTGACCACATGCATTGATTAAAAGTTGACCACAGACCACCCATCGACTAAACGTTGAACATTGCCATCATATTGACCCCATTCATTGACCATAGACCACAAATAGACCCGAAATTTGAACATAAGTTTACCATATACCACGTATTGTTACAAATACAATGCATCTGTCATATTGCTCGCATATTGACCAGACATTGACTAGTCATTGACCAAACATGAAATATCACCTCATACTGACCCCACATCGACCCCCACAAATAGGACTAACTGACAAAACATTAAACCAACACATTGACTGACCACACATCTACCCCACAAAGACATTTTACCAACAATACATTGGCCCAATACACTGACCACATATCGACCCCACAAATACGACTCACTGACAAAACATTAAACCCACACACTGACTGACCACACATCGACCCCACCCGGACGACTCACTGACAATACATTGGCCCAATACCACACATCGACCCCACAAATACGACTCACTGACAATCCATTAAGCCCACACACTGACCACGCAATACTGACCTCTCTAAAGTCCTGGCTGTATCGAAGACCCGCCCCACGAAAACTTCCTGTGCTCAAAGCCCCGGTCCTCTGTGCCAGGTTGAAGAACTGCACAGTTTGACTTCTGCACGCACCTGGCCAGGTAAACAAAAAATCAATTTTCATTCACTCAAAAAACTTGTTCTTCTTCACAAGATAGATACATCAACTTTTTGTGTTGAATGTTACTTAAAGTGAAAAAAAAAAGAGTTTTTCAATAGAGATATTGAATTATAAATTATTACTATATTAATTCTTATTTACTTTCTATAAAGATCAATAAAAAAGTAAATATTAAATTAAAGTAAACCTGAAAATTATTAATGTAAGATATTTTGGTGATAAACACAATTTACATATAAACCTAAAAATAAACAACTTATGTTGCATTTTAAAGCCATATATCTAATGTATTTTTTACTAATAAAAAGTATTATTGTATTAAAATCAAGTTAAAAATAGTTCAATTTAAACATATAGACTAACTGGTCAACTACTGTTGTTTATTTTTGCATGACATCCTAAATAATCATCAAAAACATGAACAAACTAAACATAGTTACAAAAGTAGTAAGGTGTTTTTATTTACAAAACAAACTCCCATAGTATTCATCTCGCAGCTTCAAGCAAAACAAAACAGACGATTAGGATACACAGGTGACCGAAAACACGACCAGGTGTGTTTAACAGGTGCGTTGTTTGCTTATGCTAACGTAGGTATAGGCAGAAGTCAGGTGTACTGTGTACATAAGGATAGTCAGTGCAAGTACAGGTGCTAATTGTGTACATACACGTGTATTGACATAAGAGATTACTTGGTGAGAGAACACATACACGGGCAGTGAACTCACGCACGGGGATATAAACTTGCACTAAACAAACTGATTTACAGATGCTTAAGTTGTGATGAGTATATATATATATATATATATATATATATATATATATATATATATATATATATATATATATATATCTTTCGGCATGACATTTGTCCGCTGTTTCCTCTTGGTACGCTGTACAATATGACATGCAATCATGTTTGACATTTAGAACACCTGGCGTGGAGTACAGATCTGGCATGCAGTAATATCCGGTAAATCAGACATGCGGTAAAATCCGGCATGCAGTGAAATCTGGCATGCGGTAAACATCTACTCACCATTCGAACTTTTATCCAAGTTCTTGTTACTGTTATTACCTTGATTGTTGTTGTTATTATTTCCTAGGTTGTTTCTATCATTGTTGCTGTTGGTGACTTGGTTCCTGTCAAAGTTCCCCTGATTGCTGCTTTGGTTCCTGTCAATGTTCCCTTGATTGCTAGTGCCTTGGTTCCTGTCAAAGTTCACTTGATTACTGCCTTGGTTCCTGTCAAAGTTCCCTTGATTGCTAGTGCCTTGGTTCCTGTCAAAGTTCCCTTGAATGCTGCCTTGGTTCCTGTCAAAGTTCCCTTGATTGCTAGTCCCTTGGTTCCTGTCAAAGTTCCACTGATTACTGCCCTGGTTCCTGTCAAAGTTCCCCTGATTAATGCCCTGGTTCCTGTCAAAGTTCCCCTGATTAATACCTTGATTCCTGTCAAAGTTCCCCTGATTGGTCCCTTGGTTCCTATCAAAGTTCCACTGATTACTGCCCTGGTTCCTGTCAAAGTTCCCCTGATTACTGCCTTGGTTCCTGTCAAAGTTCCCCTGATTAATGCCTTGGTTCCTGTCAAAGTTCCCCTGATTAATGCCTTGGTTCCTGTCAAAGTTCCCTTGATTAATGCCTTGGTTCCTGTCGAAGTTCCACTGATTGCCACTGATTGTACTACTGCTCCCCTGGTTCCTATCAAAGTTCCCTTGACCATTCCAGTTACCGTTTTGACCCGGATTATTCCAGTTGATCTGATTCACCGGACCGACAAACCGGACATCGTCCTGACCCCCGGACCTCCCACTGTTGACCTTTTCCCCGCTGTCGTCATCATTGCTCACCCAGTTCCGGTCGGACTGGCCATTTCCGGTCGGACGACTGGCCTTCCAGTTGTTTACATTACGATAATCGTTAAAAGGGTTATTTACATTATTTCGACTATTACCTCGTCCGTTGCCTTGACCATTGCCGTTGTTTTTGTTGCCGGCGGCGGCAGCATTGGGCGGCAACTTATCTGGACAAAAAAGGCCAAAATATATTGTCAATAAATCTAAAAAAAAAATAATTTACAAAAGCAAAAACCATCTAAAAAAACTTAAGCAGATTATGGTTTAACTAAAAATTAATTTCAATTAATTTAAAAAAACAAACAAATGATGACCATACCTGGTTTATCCGAAGCTGCTAAAGCAACTAAAAATATTGCGGAAAGAACAATTTTAAAAGTATCCATTATGGTTCGCGGTAAATCCTTAATTCAATGGTAATTTTTTTTTACAGATGTTTAAACTTATTTCCTAGTTGTAGGCCTACTAGTATCTAATCATGATCACAGACTAATTAAAAGGACGTTCTTACTAGCGTGCACTATAACTCATTTTATATACTTATATAGTGATATGTCTTATCCAGAACAGCCAATGAAATTAATGGGCTATAAATACACTGAAATAAAAATTCCCCCTAACACTTATTAGCACACCTAAAATAGGAGTCAAGAGTTTGATTTTATTTTTAAATTGAACCGGGTAGTAGAAAAAAAGGGGGGCATATTTGTTTTGGGGCACGAATGGCATTTTTATTTGGGCATGAGAATGGGTTTCACGTAGGCAGTTGGAACACGGAAATGCTGTGTTTGTGGAGACGCGTCGATGCTGAAAATTTGACGGTGGCTCGCGATTTTGACCAACAGCATTGTGGATGCTTTTAGATGATGACGTCAAAGTAAGAAGCGGGAAGCACTGAGATAGGAAGTATCTAGGTAGGCCTGAAAGTGCATTAGTACAAAATGCCTTATTTTCGACATAGGTACTCCATACATCCGAAATAGTTGTGTGGGAACTAGGAGGCACCATCAGGTTATAAAAGAAATATTTCGGATAGTTTTACTGCCTTGAGTTTAGAAGTCTGAAATCTTAGAAAACATCTTAGAAAAATATTTTTTAAAACAGGAAATACCCTGTATAAAAAAACACAAACCAAAAACACTTAGAGCGTTTTTGTTTGAGTGGGGAAGGCATGGTCGGGCGAGAGTGAGTGTATCTGATAATCTAAATTTCCTGAGTTCGGACCCTTGAGAAAATGAGGCTGGTTAGCCAGGGACAGTACCTCATCTAGGGGAGAAAACTCGAAAATCAAACAATTGCCATCTAGTATATTGTTTATAGTTAAACTAATGATATCAAAGCACTTACGTCATACTTTATTATGTTAGAGGAAAGTTCATAAATATATTCGAAAAAACACATTCGTAATACATTAATATGCTAGAGAAAAACTTATATATAAATTATTATTATGTTATTCAATAATAAAACAAAGAAGGAAGAGGAAGAAGGACGTGTTTTATTAGCCTATGTTTACAACAGGACACACATTTTCACCCTCGTTTATGTAACAATGATTAAAACTAGCCTACGGGTAAGTTGTTGAACCAACAAGATTTAACCCAAACCCTCCCCCCCCTCCCTTTGATTGACCCTGTCCCCATCACCCAACCCCTCACCATTTTTCAACTTATTTTCCTTTTCCCCCCTTCCCCTATATATATATATATATATATATATATATATATATATATATATATATATATATATATATATATATATATATATATATATATATATATATATATATATATATATTCTTTCCCACTCCCCATCCGGATTCCAACACTTTCATTTTACCGTTATCCCTTTTTCGGCTTTTCCAATTTGAATTTCGTATTACCACATATACGATATATGGGACGGCGTGGCATAGCGCTGGAGCGCTAAACTGCTAACCCGATAGTTTCGAATCCGGGTTCAAGTTAGTGGAAAATTTTGTACAAATGTGGAAAATTATGTAAAATATATTGATGTTGATGTATTTGTTTAAAATATCAAATAAACGTTTTTTTTTAAATTCATTAAAAAAAGAAGTACGTGTAAAACCTACAGCTGAGGTTTAGGCGCAAAGTTAAGTAAACATACTTGACGAAAGCATTAGCGTCAACAAACACATTCACTTTACATACGTTTATTTATATTTCCTACGGGGAATACATTTAAACACGAAGGGCGTGCAATTTAAACTAGACATCCCCCACACACTTAATAACACAGAAACTACGATTTCTGAAAGAAGATTTAACTTTTTTTTTTGTTCTAAAAAAATACGTTAATGTAATAATTAGGAGTTCCAAATCGACATTTTAAATAAATAAATGGGCATAAGTGTTTCCAAAACTTAAATTACTTGCATAGTGCATTGTTTCCAACATTGTTTTCGTACAGATGCAAAACGTTCGTTAGTCTGAGTGTTCGAATTTCGCACAACCTCAGCACTCAGCGATCGTTAAGTGTACAAAATACTGACCTCAACAATGATGCCAACAGTCCGAGTAGAAAACAAAATATGTGTTGCTTCAAGATGCGTTGGCATTGATAATGGCGGTTGGGGGGTGTTAAATTTTTGTGATATATATATATATATATATATATATATATATATATATATATATATATATATATATATATATATATATATATATATATATATAAACATATAAACTTTCTAATATCGTCTGCTGACGCCAGTCTTGGGTCACATCGACCGCCCTGATAGCTAGGTAGGATCGTCTTACTGTTTAAACACTTTAATAGACCCGTTCACGACGGTCATGTTTGCTAGTATATTACGCACATCGACTGATATCCCGGACGTCTCCGCGTACATGACATAAGAAATGCACCGCAAAACGTGACACGGGTGAGGGCTGTTGGGGATGTCTTTAACCTCTTATTGGTTACTTAAATATTGAGCTTTCTTAGAAGCTTCCTTTCCAAGAACTGAAGTATATTCTGCGTGGGTATCGTATAAAGTAAGACACCTGTTCGGACCCAGTTCTAGGTAGTTCATAAGAAATGAAACCGGAAGTCTCAAATAAGAACATGTGTATTTCTAAAAGCTGAGCGACGCTGTTAAATTTTATTTGAAAACTCAAGCATTACCTCTATCCAGGAAGAAACGACAACAATATGACTAAGTCAACTTACTGGCTTATACAAGAATAGACTTCGGTCTCTGATTATTTGATTTTGAATATCACGCTTTTGTGTTCAATTGTGTTCGTAACGAGAATAGCCGTTCGTAGTCTTGGAAACAAGTTCCACCAACATGTTACTACAAATCTCAAACTTTCATAACACGAGTTGATCGAACCCCTATGTTCGATTTGTTTGTTATTTACCTGACCACAGGAGAAAGGACAGCCGGATAGGCTACTTCTTATTCAGACAAGCATTTATCATTGCAAACTGAATTATTTTACGAAATTAACCCCGTTTTAGTCCAAATGTTCATAATCGGAGTAACCGCCCACCCCCCCCCTTCTACTTCTGGTACTGCTTTTAACTCTGAAACCCTTTTTAGTTCAATACTGTTCGTGAAGGCTATCTCAAGTATAGTTTTCGGGAAAAATTGAACTTGATTTTTATGTAATCAGTGTCAAGCAAGTTTACAAGTCGGACACGTTTCTTTCTAAAAAATGTAGATGACGATAAACCAGGATACGTTGGCCCATTTTCTTTAGTTGGCCCATCTTCTTCAGTTGGCCCATCTTCTTTAGTTGGCTCATCTTCTTCAGTTGGCCCATCTTCTTTAGTTGGCCTATCTTCTTCAGTTGGCCCATCTTTTTCAGTTGGCCTATCTTCTTTAATTTACCCATCTTCTTCAGTTGGCCCATCTTCTTCATTTGGCCCACCTTCTTCAGTTGGCCCATCTTCTTCAGTTGGCCCATCTTTTTCAGTTGGCCCATCTTCTTTAATTTACCCATCTTCTTCAGTTGGCCCATCTTCTTCATTTGGCCCACCTTCTTCAGTTGGCCCATCTTTTTCAGTTGGCCCATCTTCTTCAGTTGGCCCATCTTCTTTAATTTACCCATCTTCTTCAGTTGGCCCATCTTCTTCAAGTGGCCCATCTTCAGTTGGCCCATCTTCTTTAGTTTGCCCATCTTCTTCAGTTGGCCCATCTTTTTCAGTTGGCACATCTTCTTCAGTTGGCCCATCTTCTTTAATTTGCCCATCTTCTTCAGTTGGCCCATCTTCTTTAGTTTGCCCATCTTCTTTAATTTGCCCATCTTCTTCAGTTGGCCAATCTTCAGTTGGCCCATCTTCTTCAGTTGGCCCATCTTCTTTAGTTGGCCCATCTTCTTTAGTTTGCCCATCTTCTTCAGTTGGCCCATCTTCTTCAGTTGGCCCATCTTCTTTAGTTGGCCCATCTTCTTTAGTTTGCCCATCTTCTTTAGTTGGCCCATCTTCTTCAGTTGGCCCATCTTCAGTTGGCCCATCTTCTTCAGTTGGCCCATCTTCTTCAGTTGGCCCATCTTCTTCAGTTGGCCCATCTTCAGTTGGCCCATCTTCAGTAGGCCCATCTTCTTCAGTTGGCCCATCTTCAGTTGGCCCATCTTCAGTTTGCACATCTTCTTCAGTTGGCCCATCTTCAGTTTGCCCATCTTCTTCAGTTGGCCCATCTTCTTCAGTTGGCCCATCTTCTTTAGTTGGCCCATCTTCTTTAGTTTGCCCATCTTCTTTAGTTGGCCCATCTTCTTCAGTTGGCCCATCTTCAGTTGGCCCATCTTCTTCAGTTGGTCCATCTTCTTCAGTTGGCCCATCTTCTTCAGTTGGCCCATCTTCAGTTGGCCCATCTTCAGTAGGCCCATCTTCTTCAGTTGGCCCATCTTCAGTTGGCCCATCTTCAGTTTGCACATCTTCTTCAGTTGGCCCATCTTCAGTTTGCCCATTTTCTTCAGTTGGCCCATCTTCAGTTTGCCCATTTTCTTCAGTTGGCCCATCTTCTTCAGTTGGCCCATATTCAGTTGGCTCATCTTCAGTTGGCCCATCTTCTTCAGTTGGCCCATCTTCAGTTGGCCCATCTTCAGTTTGCCCATCTTCTTCAGTTGGCCCATCTTCAGTTTGCCCATCTTCTTTAGTTGGCCCACCTTCATTTGGCCCATCTTCAGTTGTCCCATCTTCTTCAGTTGGCCCATCTTCAGTTGGCCCATCTTCTTCAGTTGGCACATCTTCAGTTTGCCCATCTTCTTCAGTTGGCCCATCTTCTTCAGTTGGCCCATCTTTAGTTTGCCCATCTTCTTCAGTTGGCACATCTTCTTCAGTTGGCTCATCTTCTTCAGTTGGCCCATCTTCTTCAGTTGGCCCATCTTATTTTGTCTGATCTGCTCGTAACAAGAACAACCGTTCGAAGAATTGTGAGAATAGTTCCACAATCTTACTACATATCTCAAACTTTTGTAACACGAGTTGTTCGAGATTTACCTGACCATAGGAGAAAGAACAATCTATTACTGCGGATTCAAAACGTAAAATACAGACAGGAAATTTATTTATAAAATTGTAAACAGGCAGAAACTCAACTAGAAGTTTTTGGCAACGGAACGGTGAGAGGAAAAAAAACAGGAGCCAAATTATATTATTTTCAAAATATATGCCAATGATTGTTGTAATAATATTTATCATTTAAAGTAAAGTTCCTTTTCGAACCTGAGGTTCGATGCGGTTAGTGAATTAGAGATCAACTGTTTCTGTGACCTCGGCTTGTTAAGAGGCAGTGTTATCATCACTATGCCCAGCCATACTTTCTCTAACGTAAGTCAGGTACTCGTTAGGGCTGGGTGGACTCAGAGACGTACTACGGACTTTAAGCCGGATTCTAATTCGAACCTTTCGGGTTAACAGTCGTATACTCTAACATTCCACCACGCAGTCGAGTTACTTAAATAATTCATACCATTATTTATCATTGGCAACGGAATTATTTGACGAAATTAACGCCGTTTTGATCCAAGTGTTCTCAAAGTGATCGCACTCTCTTTCCCTTTTAATGTCCGAAACCTTTTTTAGTTCAATACTGTTCTTGTCTAAATATAGAGAAGAAGATCTGAAGTTTGGTTTTCGGGAAAAATGAACTTGATTTTTATGTAATCAGTGTCAAGCAAGTTTACCAGTCGGGCACTTTCTTTTTCTAATAAAATGTGGAGGTGATACACCAGGATATGTTGGCCCATCTTCTTGGGTTAGGTCAGGTATAAGTAGCCTACTTATAATTTAACTATTCGTGTTTAACGAAATGGCGGATGTTTGATTTTGACGATGGTGTAAAAAGAGTCCAAGGAATAGGCCTACGTGTCTGAAAAAGAGGATGAGTGTAGTAGCGTTAATTTTGTATTTCGCTTTTACAAGAATTTAATGTCTGCCTGAAGTTCAAGCGCCTAACCTAACACCCATTTGGATATCTAGTCCTATATAATCTAGTTTTTATATGTACTTTAAATCTGCATTTAGTAGCTAGCTCATTTCTAAATGAATTCTTCTAATTATAAATTAGCATACCGCTAGTCACGTCCTATATCTCTTCAAAACGTCACTGAGAGTGTCTTTTTTTTTGGATTAAGCCAAAGAAGTTTTTTTTTTTTTTTTCCTATTTCATTTGCATTTATTTACTATCCCTTTTTAATTTTTTTTTTTTTTTTACGTCCCGGCAAGTATGTACTTGGTTATCATATTTGTTTTATATATGTTGTTATACAAAATTTTAAGGGATAACCATTAAAAGGGGTTAAATTAAAATGATAGTGTTGGAATCCGGATGAGGAGGGATTGACAAAACTTGTTTAAGCGGTGAGTACAGCGTGTCATATTTGAAGAGTTGTCCTTCTCGCTGTTTAAGTTCTGTCGTCTGCATATATGTAAGAAATGGATCTGTCTGGGTTGAGGATGTAGAATATTTGATTGTGGCAGGGGTCGTTGTCGGGGTGCTGGTCGTTGAGGTGTTTTTCTATGTCGTATTTGGTGTATAGACTTGTTAGGCAGTATCCACACTGGAAGACAGCGGTGTCTGGGTGTTTTAATACGTGGTGCTTTATTGCTCCTCTGCTTTTGATCAGATTGTTGCAATGCGGGCATTTACTCGTATCAGGATGGGAAGTTTTTGTATGTGTTTTACACTCGCTGGCAGTACTGAAACTGTGAAAGCAATAACCGCAGCTCTTGTCTTTTCCAGGAGTTAAAGGTTTGGGAATTTGAATTGGTTCAGTGGTAGTTTCTTGTTGCGGCTGGGTTTCTAAGGTGTTTGTCAGGCGATCGAAGATTTGATTCGCGAGTTTTTTTGTTAATTTTCCTTGTTCTGTGGGGCTGATTTCATTTTTTCTTTTCATTGACGTGGTGTTATCTATTTCTGAATCTGGGCTTTGTGTTTCTCCAGTGTTTTGGAGTTTTGTTGATGTAGTTGGTGACTTCGGGTAAGCCGTATTTGGGATCGCTTGTTGGTTCGACACGTTAGGGGTTACCAATGTTTGCTGCGGTGTGGGTGGTGCTCTAGGTGGTTCTGTTAAAATTGTCTGTGAGGATGGTTGTTGAGTTGATTCCTGTATTGTTGACAGGTGAACATTGCTTGTTGACTCTGGTTTTGATGATTGGCAGTGGTTGGTCCAGTGTCTGTCCGAGCCGCACACCTGACAGGCTTGGCGTCTTCCTGGCAGTGCGATGAGGATATTACGTGTTGTGTCTTTGTATGTAATTTGGATGTAGTGTGGGATGTGTTGTGGATTGTCGTTCTGGATGGTGAATCTGCGATTGTTTGTGTGCGGGATTTTGGTTATTGTAGGTGTAGATTTGCTGACTGTTTGCAGTGCCTTAATCAGTGTTTCGTTGCTCAGGGCTGGCGGGACCCATCTAAGGGTTCCGATGATTTTGTCCTTGTGGTATCTGTCGAATTTCAAAGTGTATGGGCCGTGTGTTTTGGTGGTGCCGTCCAGACCCGCTACATCAAACTCGTTGGACGAGAAGTACCAGGTATCCCCTCGTCCATAGTTGAGCAGAAGGATCTGGTGAGGGCTAATGATATTGCGCAAGAGGTGACCAGGAATGCTCTGGTGGTTGGTTGATTGGATGGTGACTTGAATTACTGTAGGCGAGTCGAAGAGCTCAGGAGCTATTTCATCAGACTGGTCGATGGTGATTGTTGTCTTGATATCTGAAAAGGATTGGGCCCAAGTTTTCATTAAGCCACCCGAACCGTAGTCCGGGTGGCTCCTCTCCGGATCTCTCGACCTAGAGGGAACAAAAATGGGCGCAACCCCATTGTTGACTTTCGTGATAGTTGCATAGTCCATTTCTAGTGCATGGAGATGAGGACTCGGTGCATTTGCTCAACGTCCCGGCAAGACCAACTTTAGAAATGATCCCTAAAAGTATGATCCCTTTTTAATAGGGATCCAAAATTTTAAGTTTTCGTCATCAAAAACAAAATAAAAGGTAGTTGTCGGTAACAAGCCAAAGAAGATCAGAGAAGACTGACAAATTACGTTTGAGTAGTAGTAGAATGTAGTACAAAAATTTGTGTTGATCGCCATAGTGTAAATAACCTACAGTGTTTGTTATCTAAATTAATCATTTAAAAAGTTGATATTTAAAGTTTTCTTAAACAAATTTTGTTTTCCAAACATATTGTTTTAATTAACAGCATGTGGATGAAACATAATTAAGGAAATATATAACCTTTCACAAAAAATTCTAATTTTCTAAATTCTAACTGTGTCTGAAAATTACTTCCCTTAGTCCTTTAGCGCCAATTACTTTCCTTGATAGATCACAAAAAATATTACTTCCCTTAAAATAAATTACATAGGGGGGAGGGGTACTTTTTATTTGTTTGTTTGGTGCAATGCGGTAGGTAAAACACTGATATTTCAAATACTGCTTTTTATTTATTTTATACACTGAACCTAATGTTTACTAATTATTATTTTCAATATCAATAATAGTCAGTGTTTCTTCCAGTTTTTTCTCCGGGGGACATGAAATTTTAGGGGGGGGGGGGGGGGGGGGGCGGGGCGGACTAAAATTGCCGGGGGCGGACACTGGTAAAATTCCATTTCGTTCGGGGAGGGGGCAGTGGAGATGCCTGGAAGACACACTGATAACAGTTTATAAGCCGCCCCTTAATGTCCTCTATGTTTACTTCTATCTTTTGGTTTGCGGACAAGCTTGGGGTATTATAGTCGTTCACTAAATTGAACCAGTCGCGTCTCGACCTCGGCATATGAAATGGATAGTGTGGTCAGCACTATACTGCCGTTGTTACTTTCTGCATCGTAAATCAGGCACCCATCAGAACTGGGTGGACTCAGGGACGTCCTACAGTCACACGTCCATGCCAAGATTCGAAATCTTAACCTTCGGGTTAGCAGCCACTACCAGCTTCTAGCATTCAATGGTATCGTCTAGGCAGCATCGAATCGATAATTTACGCTCTATTACTCTGGTATTCTCAATTAGGTAGACTGCAGTCTGAAGAATCGGTTACTACCACCACCCATAGTGCTAGCCGTTAGACAAGTGAAATTCCGCAACGTTTTTTGTTTTGTTTCCTTCTCCAGTGCATCGAACCAAACTCGTGACTTGCGGTTAGCACTCGAGTACTCTATACCTCGGCCACACCTGGTTTTGGTTGATGAGAGATCTACGGCCTCTATCTCAGGTACCGAATTGACGACGTGTAGGTTAGCATTCGGGTGCTCTTTATCTGGACCACACCTGGGTTGAATGGTTTGCGATCTACGGTCCCTACAGAACTCGTGACTTGCGGGTTAGCACTTGAGTGCTCTATATCTGGACCACACCTGGTTTGAATGGTTAGCGATCTACGGTCCCTACAGAACTCGTGACTTGCGGGTTAGCACTTGAGTGCTCTATACCTGGACAACTACGTCACTGATATATCCCCATATTTACATTACTAGGTTAATATTAAGTGCACGTTCGAGTAACATACAATTGCTAGCTAATTAGGTCACAACTGTCAGGCTATAAATAGTACCAGGTAATGGGTATGTGTGTTCAGGAAGATGCGCACTAACTCGGTATGTGGGCATGACGGGTAATGCTGAGCAGAGGTAAATAAATTGTTTCGTTTCCATTGGTTAAAATTAAGGTAAACAAACATGACCACACGCAATGCGTAAGTAACTCAGAATGGGTGAGCTGGAGTGGAAGGAGGTGGTGGGGGAGGGGGAGGTGGGGAGCAGGGAGGGTGAGGGAGGTCGCGTGGGAGGGAGGGGGGAGGTGGCGGGGTAGGGGGAAGGTGGCGGGGGAGGGAAAAGGGGAGGCAGGTGGATTGAGGTGGTGGGGGAGGGGGTGAAAAAGAAGGAGGGAGGTGGCGGGGGAGGGAGGGGGGAGGTGGCGGGGGAGGGGGTGAAAAAGAAGGAGGGAGGGGGATGGGGAGGGGGAGGGAGGGAGGTGGCGGGGGAGGGGGAGGGAAAAAGGGAGGGAGGTGGATTGAGGTGGCGGGGGAGGGGGTGAAAAGGAAGGAGGGAGGTGGCGGGGGAGGGGGAGGGAGGGAGGTGGCGGGGGAGGGGGAGGGAAAAAGGGAGGGAGGTGGATTGAGGAGGCGGGGGGGATGAAAAAGAAGGAGGGAGGTGGCGGGGGAGGGAGGGAGGTGGCGGGAGAGGGAGGAGGTGAGGGTGATTGGGGGAGGTAGGAGCTGTGACGGGGGAAATGGGGAAGGAGGAGGTTGTGGAAGAGGGGGTGGGGTGGGGGGGGGGTCCATGACAAAAAAAATATCGAATTTCGCTGACATCCGTTTTACGTGATGTAAAATCGTGTTACGTAGGACTGCGTGGCCTAGCGGCAAAGAGCTAAACTGCTAACCCGAAAACCTGGAGTTCGAGTTCAAGCTAGTTCCACTTTCCACCCAGCTTAAGGAAACTAGAGGCAGCTGGACATAGGGCTGTCCACATAGGGTTCCCCCTCATAAGCCGAGGTCACACACACAGGTGAACTGCAGTGGCGGAACTAGAAAAAAGGGGCCACCCTGCAAATAGAATTTCTGGGCCCCCCTCCTCTATATATATATATATATATATATATATATATATATATATATATATATATATATATATATATAGACACACACACAAACATTGGATACTCATTTCTGGCCTGATCGGGTTTTGAAAAACCGCAATTCAATTACAAATTATAATATGTCACGTGTGTCAGTGCATTAGTCTGTTTTTTTATTATTATTTTTTAGCTTAAGAACTAGTTATTCTGTTTGCCTACCCTCTGCTTTTTAGCCGTTCAAAAGTATATAAAACCTGAAAGCTTTGTATGTGTAATGGTTTCTCGTGTTATGTTTATATTTATGTTTTTTTTTTAATTTTTATTATTTGTTTTAAATATATTTCTTTTTTATGCTATGTCATTCTTTAGTATGTATTTTTTAAAATAATAATTAAGAGAAGTAGTTGCTTTTTAATTTGTGTAGTACAAATACATCAAAAGGAGCTTATGAGCACCCATATTTAACTATTTAAAAAAGGGAAATAAGTCTTGGAAGTGTTTTGAACGTTTGCCTATCTTTCACACTACAGCTCAGGCATATATTTTTTTACGCAACAGCATGTGTTAGCTACTGTATAACATCACTACTCTCGTAGATTTGTTTGTTATTTACAAAAGCTTGTATCGTCAAGTCAAGAATGCAAGAAAATTATTTTTTTTAACTATAACAAAATGTATTATGGTCGGCTATGGGCCCCTAAATGGCGTGGGTCTGGCGGCACTGTAGTTCCGCCCCTGGTGAACTGTACTTCATTTGCTCAATGAACCGTCAAGTTCGAAAAGGGAACGTTACTTTACTTTAACATAAGGTTATACATTTTAAAAAAAGCTAATATTTGCATCGATACAGGTGTAGTTCATTATTTTAGGAGTTTTGAACGAAAAAAAAGTAGATTGATGGCTAAATTGCAAGTACTAGTTGAATTAATTCATAGAGTTTGATATCAGGCTTATATAAACCGAAGTACTGATTTAAATAAATAAATAAATTTAAAATATCAGAATTCCTAAATTAACTTTTGCGTGTAGTAATGGTTGAGTTCATGGCGTTCAGTTCACACGCGTTATGAGTACGCTCAGCTCTTAAAAAATTACCTGATTATTGTAAAAAAAAAGGAGGAGGGGGTGGGGGGGGGGGGGGGGGTTGGGGTGGGCTGGACTGGGTGAAGTTTTTACAATAAAATTACTTTACTTTCCGAAATCTTATGAACTCTACTTCTTTTTTTTTATTGTTTTATTTTTTTAATTTTTTTTAATATTTGTTTTTAATTTTTAAATTTGTTTTTTTTAAATGGTGTTTGTATTTCCAAAACTTTAATTTGATTATTTCCCATATGAAAGGTACTGATGATATTGTTTGCTGACTGTTTGTCAAGAATGTAACCTCTTTTAGTGATATCCACATTGTTCATGTGAAATTTTTGTTGATTTGTTATGACCATTTTCTAGTTTTTACTTGGGTGATTTGCCCTGTCTTGTTTTATTTTTTTATTTTTTTATTTTTTTTTATTTTTTTTTTTTTGCCTCAGACATGTAATTTACAGCGTCAGTTGTGTGTGTTCGCTTTAGTATTACAGTTTTCATCACCGGCTTGTGAGGACTGACACAGATTTACAATAGTAATATTTCTTTCTTACTTGTAGCCTACTTTCATTCATTTAAGATGGTTTACTTATACATAGATCTAATACAAAACGTCTAAATATAAAGAAAAAATAAAAATTAAAAACCAACCTGAAACTGAAAATGCAAATGTGTAATTAAATGATGATTCAAGGGATTTTTTTTCCATCAGCGTGGTGGGCTGAGGGGACGAGAAGGGGGGGAGAGGGTTGAATTATTTATTTTTTTTTAAAGTAGAGCTGAAATGAATTTGGGATTACAGAGAATTAAAATGATACAAATTTTAAGCAATCGGAAAAGTTATGTTATTACATTTATTTTTTTAATGATTTGAAGAACAAAATGATATTTGAATATTCCATTTTTGAAATGATCCGGGTTTGAATTATTTAAAGATTCTCCTTTAATCTGTGTCAACAAAAACGAATATATCCTAATTTAAAATAAAAACAGCGGAGAAGCAATACATTTGAATATTTTACTTCGTCAAAAAAAAATTTAAAAAAAAAAAGCCATTTACAGGTAAATAATGTGCACATTTTGCTATAAACAAAAATGTACCCAATCAATTAGTGTTTAGCCGTTTGTTAAGTCCCTTGCGTTCTTTCAGGAGAACAGATTCCGCGATAAGGGAAGTAACAATGTTTTCAAATAATCGAGTAATAAGTATAGAGTTGCTTTTCCTTACTCTCACGCCCCTCAGTGTTTTTATCTTACACATCGTGTGGACCTTTCGTGATGCCTGAATATCTTTAGACTTGTCAAATAAAACACTAACATATAACTCTATATATGTTTATACAAATTTTTATATATATATATATATATATATATATATATATATATATATATATATATATATATATATATATATATATGTATTTATAACTGTGTATAACTGATAAATATTCAAGATGTGGTGCTTAGGTAAATTTTAAACTTCTTTCTCTACAGAGTTGGATAGAAGTGGGGCTATAAAAACTTCTATGAGGGATGGAAAAAAATGACTAAATTATATATTTTCTATAAAACAATTTTTTTGTTCAATTTCTTTCGGGGCATCAGGGGTGGTGACTTTGCTCAAGGGGTGGGGCGGTGCATATGCCCCGGAGAAATACCTGAAAGAAACCCTGCGCCATACCATGTTGATCAAGACGTGTATTCCATGTTACAATGTGAAATCCTAGACGTAAGTTACTATTTGCTTGAATGGTTTTTTTTTGTCTGAAAGTTCCGTCACCGATCTATGATTTTGTCAAGAACTCAGTGCCATGATGAGGTACACACATCTATATACATCTTGCTACTTATCAGGTATTTCACAATGATCAGGTAAATTGGAGACTACGTGTAAACAACAACTTCGTCCCCTGTAAAATTCCGAAAACTATAAATTCCTTTACGATTCACGTTTCATGTACTTGTATTAAATACTGATGTGTCTGTTGCTGCATCGATCTCGCTTAAGTATTTAAACTATCCTCTATTAGCGGTAATGTTCTGTATACTGTGAGTTATATGTTCAAAGCGAACACACGGACTGTGAATGGTATTTAAGTGTACTGTATGTGTATGGGTTTGAGAGTATGTGTGTTGGAATAATTTTGGGAAAGATTTATGAAAGATTATGAATGTGATGAGGTACGTAAGTATGTGACGTGTGAGAGTAGGATTTTGTTTGGGGAAATAGTTTAGATCAGTTTTCGTCATGTTGTGTTAGTGTGTAGAATTGTTCGTCCGTCGACGTGAATATAGTCTTTGTTTACGTTGTGAAAGTGGTCGCCCGTTTCAATTATGTATTTAAACAATACAGTAAATCAGTACAACAAACCAAGGAAAGAAGAATTGCGGTCCTGTGCAGTGATTTATAATATATTGAATGTTGGATCGTCATTGTCGGTGGTTTAACGTGGCCCTTCAAGTGTAGACCCCGTCATAAACTTGCATCATAACACAGCTGTGGTTGTCCACTTTATCAGAGCAGTAACGCCATGTAAAGGCGCCTGGGCATAGTGCTGACCACACTATCTCTTCATATGCCGAGGTCACAGAAACAAGTGAACTCTACTTCACTTGCCCCATAGACCGTCAGGTTTGAAAGGGAAACTTTACTTTTTAACGCCGTGACCACTGTCCACTTTACACAGCAGTAGCACCCTGACCACTGTCTGAACACGGCAGTTGTTGTCCACTTTACAGAGCAGTAACACACTGACCACTGTCGTAACACGGCAGTTGTTGTCCACTTAACATAGCAGTAACGCCCTCGCACCAGTTGTTGTTGTCCACTTTACAGAGCAGTAACGCCCTCACACCAGTTGTTGTTGTCCACTTTACAGAGCAGTAACGCCCTCACACCAGTTGTTGTTGTCCACTTTACAGAGCAGTAACGCCCTCGCACCAGTTGTTGTTGTCCACTTTACAGAGCAGTAACGCCCTCACACCAGTTGTTGTTGTCCACTTTACAGAGCAGTAACGGCCTCACACCAGTTGTTGTTGTCCACTTTACAGAGCAGTAACACACTGACCACTGTCTTAACACACGAGTTGTTGTCCACTTTACAGAGCAGTAACGCCCTCACACCAGTTGTTGTTGTCCACTTTACAGAGCAGTAACGACATGCCACCCGTTGACACCTGAATGACTTCTTCCAGACGAACTTTGACCTCATTACCCGCCCACCTGAGCGAGACGAAAATCGCCTCAAAATAACCGCATTCTAGGTCAAAGCCTTGTCATGAAAATAAAAGACACGACATGTGTTTAGAAAAAAAAATAACAAAAAAAACCCAACAAATTACCCTGCTCAAAATACTGAAATTAAGTCATGTTTACGAACCCTTACAATCATAACACAAACTGGGAGTGTAGTAATTTACCTGTGTGGCGGGGACAGGTAGTATTTACCTGGGCAGGTAGACACGGATCCTTGCTGACAATAACCTAATTTAGCGACACGGTGTGTAGCAAGGTGTGTCGTATCCTGTATCTATTCCTGACACGGATTAAAAAAAAACACGCCGATGTATTAAGAATGACACGGATTTATTTTACATTGTAAGTAAATCACCTAATTATTTTTACAATTAAATTAAATTTGTCTAATGATTAATGCTACTAATTAGATAATATTTTTAACAAAATAGAACATTGTATAACTACATAATACTACTTATGTTTATAAATATATGTATGTTTATATGTATACTTGTACATGTTTGTATGTATTTCAAGCTGTACACCGTTTAATACTGGAGAAATAACACGTTAACCAGTATCATGAGGCCTGTTAAGATTTATAGTTCTAATTAAAGTTAGGTTTAGGGTTAGTTTTAGATTTTAGCTGGGTATAGTGTACAGGGTTAACATTGAAATAATCAAAGTATGCAAAAAAAAAATTGTATATTCTAAGAATATAGCAGGATCTAAATAATCAACAACACATCGACCACAGCTTACGACTGCTAACACCCAAGTTAGGGCCCAGGCTATGTGCTTGGATTTTCAATGTGTAATCATCCAATAGTCTATTTAATTATAAAGCGATATATATATATATATATATATATATATATATATATATATATATATATATATATACCACTAAGGGAGAATTTACACACCGGTGTTACTGGTAGTTAACTAAATACACACATGGCTGGCTAATGTCAATGCTAACCCTGTCCCTAACCTCAACCCTGGTCCCAGTGGCGTAGCCAGGATCGTCTCAAGGCGGGGGGATTCCAATTTTTACCCGGGAACAAGCTTTCGATTTGCACCCCCCTCAAACTTTCGATTTGCACCCCCCTCATACTTTATATATATACCGAGGGGTCTATGGTGGGGGGGGGGGGTTATGACCCCCCATAATCCCCCCCCCCCACAGCCTACGCCACTGCCTGGTCCTAACATACGCCTAACACTAATTTCTAACCATAAAATTAGTCGAGATTACAATACTATTAACAATCAAATACACCTATTTTATGGAAGAGTCTATTATCGGATACCGGTATCTATAATCATCCATATCTTATATTGTAGCAAAGCATTTCAGTCTCGCTCCCTTTAAAATATAAACACCTACATACAATCAATATTATCTAGTGCTACATATGAGCACACACTCCCCCCCCCCCCTCCGATTTACATTTTTAAGTGACCGATTTCTTCCAATATCTCAAAAAGGCGTGAAGCGACATGCGACTCCAATCCCAATCAGGATAGTTCCGACAAATTAAGGGAATCGTTTGGGGTGTTTATTTATTTATTTATTTTGGAGTGCAGTTGGGGACGAATAGAATGTCCATGTAAACATACTTTAAATAAGGGGATCGTCTGTCAAATTCAAAGACGTCACGTCCACATGTGATGTCTTAAAACTTTTATCACGATGTTCTGTGTGCAGAAGAGGTGGCGTTGATATAATGTAATTAATATAACCCATAATTTAGAATTCCATGCATGGCGAGAATCTGCTTTTTACAAAGTTTAGCGCAAAATTATTCTAAGGGTTATGGGTTGACATAGAACTCGTCATGTAAGTCTGTCTTTTTGTGACTGGTTTGTGGGTTGAGGAAGGTGATAGTTCGACAAAAAGTGCATAATGTACGCCCAAGTTGGATTGCGTTAATGGTTTGAACTGGTGTTACAAGCAGAGGCGTTGCGAGGCGGGGGCGGGGATGCGGCCCGTACCACGTGACACCAATTAGGGGGGGGGGGTGACACCAAGAAAAAAATTTGCAAGAAAAACAGAATAAATATGTTGTTTTTTTTCCAGTTCTATGCATGTTTAATTAGAGTTAAAATGTATTTTAAGTACATAATGACGATGCCGACAAGTGATGTGTGGTTGACACCATGACGTAAACAAGCATACTAAAGAGAAAACAATGCTGCACTCAGCTGTATTAACAATAGACTATAGATAAACATCATTAGTATTAAATGTGAAACCTATAAAGCTTTTACAGCGGGAGGGGGGGGAGCGGGGTGGTGACACCATGAAGTGTCGCACCGGGTGACACCCTACCTAGCGACGCCACTAGTTACAGGACAATATAATATACGAACTTATTTTATACGAATTTATTCGTATAAAGATTCGCATGTGTTATGGCGTTGGTTTAATGAAATTGTGGTGTAGGGGAAACTATTGTCTAGTTAAATGATAGCTGTGGTTACCGCACTTTTGGTTACTGCGCCTTTTTTGAATAGCAAAAATTTTGGGCGCTTCACCTACCCCCACACTTCCCTTGGACACATTACACTCAAGTCCAAAATGCGATCAAATATTAATATATCTTAAAATATTACGATAATTAGCTGAAAAAAAGAGATTTTGTTAAATACATACGAATAATAAAAATATCTGATATTTAAATATTCTATTATTTCTATCTTACATTATAAAGTAATTAGCTGAAAAGAATCCAATTTGTTAATTATCACAGTTGCTATGTAAGACAGTAATGAAACTACTACTTAATCTTCCCCATGTGTCTTGGGCTCGAATGGGAAATGATGATGTTAAGACAGGCTAATCAACAGCAAGACTTATTTACATAATTTCAATACAAAGTGGTTAACAGTTGTAACAGTCAAATGTAGGATGAATGTATGTTTCGAATGAAGGTGTAAAAAGGCGATATAAATCTAAAATAATATTGTGGGCAGGCGCATGCGCAAGAGAGAGGGGAAGAAAAAGGAGAACAAGAAAGCTGATGCAAGTAAAAGTCGTAATTTTTTGAGTTGTGTAGCTGCTGAATATGTAGATCTAATATTAATAAAACTTTGAAATCACCAGTAATGTGGTTGGTATTTGCCTTTAATTTATGCCATGAACCCAGTCATACTAAAGGGGTGTGACAACAGTGTTCTCATAAGTGGATATATAAATTCACAAAATAATTTTAAAAAATACGAGGGGTTTAACGTAGGGCTAAATAAATATGGGGTACAGACTGTATAACATCTTTTTTTTTGCCAAAATAAAAAATACGGGGAAAGAAGGTTTTTACTAGAATCTATATATATAATTCTCCTCTGGGAGCCGCTAGAAAACAAGCTGCAAACGCGCCTAGAAAACAAGCTGTAAACGCGCTCCCTACCTCCCCACCCCTACATGGTTTTAGTGAGCTGTGTTCACTCTAAATGTTTACAAGCAGAGCCAACGATTTTAAGCGTAGGGGGGGGGGAGGAAGGAAGGAAGGGGGGGGGTATGGTCCTTAACGAGCTACTTATAGTGTTTTAAAGAAATATTTTCAGTGGCAGCGTTGGTACTGTCGAATTCACAAATTTTGAATTACTGAAAAGTAGAAAAAACAACAACTAAATAGCGGCGTATGTTATGCCGCGGGCCGGCTCGTACTATTTATTTCCCATGCATCGGAGCTTCTTCGAAATTTTTCTTACTTAATAAATATACATTTTATTTATTTTAAAGGTTTTCTTTTTAAACAAGAGTGACATTATAATTTCATAAATGTAAAAAATATAGTAGTTAGAATATTTTATAAGAGCATATAATTTCAAAACTGATAAATGTTTATAAATTATTACACTACTATCTAAATTAATTAAATACTATTAAATTCCCAACATTTGTAACTTTTGTCAAGATGGTTGCTGTTTGTCTCCCCTAGCTACTTTGATGCACTAGCAAATAAAAAAAAACAACTATTATAAGCAGCACAAACTACAAATGCCTTTAATGTGTAGATAGATATGGAAAGGTTGTCACTCTTTAGAAACAAGAACAATCGGCTACAAATGCATCATAAATAGAAAGGAAATATAGGTAAACCGAAAGCGAAACTTCAAAAAAGGATTACGTTTTACCCTTACCTAATACAATATGTTGTGATGTTGGTGGTGATGAGAGTGTGTGTGTGTGTATGTGTGTGTTTTCTATAAATACGATGATAGGTGTAGTATCGTGTGGCGATATGCTACTCGTGGGGGGCGGGGGTGGGGGGGGGGGTGGAGTTAAGAAATATGACGTGACATATTATTTGTTGATGGAAAACAATCTCTATGTGCGACCTTGTTTGCACGTTTATAGAGCTGTTACCCTAATTCTTACTCTCCTCTTAAGTTTAATTACAGTTCCTCTATAGACCTAGCGTTCCATTGGGCAGATGAAGTGGATCTCATATATTTCTTAACCTCGACGTATAAAGTGATAGTGTGATCATCACTATGCCCGGTCGCATTTACTTTCCTCCACGTAAACCAGGTACCTGTATGAGCTGGGTTGGCTCAGGGACGCCCTTCCGTCACAGGTCCGAATCTAAGACCTGACTAGCAGACAAACGCTCTACCATTCGACCACGCCCTTCCTAAGTTTAAACCTTCACCTAAATTCTTCCTGAATCTAAACCATATAAGTTAACACAACCACAACCCCTTAGATGGACCGTAACTGTAGCTACTCATAACTTTTAAAGACAAAAAACAACTATCTCCTCCTCCCCCCCCCCTCTCTACTCTCCCGCCCACCACAACGATAATAAAACCAACCCTAATGACATCAACATTGCAGTAGGTGTTTCATCATAAACATTACATTCATAATAATAAGTGTATTAGACATTTTATATACATTTTCATTTTTAGTGTTTAAAATAACAAAACCAGGAAAAAAGACACCTACATTCCAATTAGTGTTTCATACTAGCAGTTATGTTAGACATTTGTAAATACATTTTTGAGTGTGTATAATAACAAATCAATGAAAAAAAGACACATGCATTGCAGTTGGTGTTTCATAAAAATTACATTCATAATAGCAAGGGTTTTAGACACCTACATTCAGAGGCGTAGCGACCCTTACCGGCGCCCGGGGACAAACTTTCAATTTGGCGCCCCCCTCGGGAGCAAATTTTGAATTTGCACCCCCCTCAAACTTTTGATTTGCACCCCCCCCCCCACCCTCAAACTTTCGATTAGCACCCCCTCCCTCAAAGTTTCGATTTGCACCCCCCTAGAACTGCAAAAATGCAGCTAAAATGACATTTTCATTTGTTTTTACAACCCATTTTGGCGCCCTCTAAGGT